CTCAGACAGAGATCTACTGAACACGATCACATCATCCAGGTAAATCAGGCATTGCTCCCACTGCAAGCCCCGCATCACCAACTCCATCAGCCGCTGGAACGTCGCGGGCGCGTTGGTGAGCCCGAACGGGAGTACTCGAAACTCGAATAGCCCCATCGGGGTGGTGAATGCGGTTTTTGGCCGATCCTCCTCCGTCATCTCCACCTGCCAGTACCCGGACGCGAGATCGAGGGTGGAAAAATACCGCGCTCCGGCGAGGCTGTCAAAGGTGTCGTCGATGCGCGGTATGGGGAAGGCGTCGCCGAGGGTGACTGCGTTTAGTTTGCGGTAATCGACGCAAAACCGGGTTGACCCGTCCTTTTTTGTTACTAGCACCACCGGGGCAGACCAGGGGCTCGCCGAGGGCTGAATTATGTTATCGCGGAGCATGTCCCTGACCGCCTCTTTGATCTGGGCGCGTTCGGGTGCGCCCACGCGGTACGCGGGGAGTTTTATGGGTCGGGCGGCCCCGGTGTCGATTTGGTGCTTAACGAGATCTGTGCGACCCACGTCTGAATCGTGTTCGCTGAACACGTCGGCGTACTCCCGCAGTAACCCGCGTAGCTGATCGGCCTCTCCCTTGGGTAAATCTGCCCAAGGTACGTGTACCGCGTCAAGAAGGGGGACGACCTCGGCGTGGGGAGTCGGGCCGACTCGCCAGGCCAGGTCTTGTTGGTCCTCGGGGCGACCGGGGTCCTCCGCCCAGAGTGCGAATACCGAGTCGCTGGAGTGGCGCGCGTGTAGGGGGTGCACGGTGGCTACTGTGGTGCGCCGTCGTAGTATTGCTGGGGTGCCGTGGGGGTTAAACACACGCATGAACAATCGGCCCCCATCGGCGTTTACCAACGTGGCTGACCCCACAACCCCGTATCGTTTTGCCAACTCCGGGTGAGGAGTTAGCATTACCTCCCCCGATGGTCGGTGCGCGGGGTCGGTGGAGGGTGTCGCCACAGGTACCAGCATCTCGGCGAGCGGCCCGATGGTGACGGCCGTCGTCAGGGTAGCGGCCACAGGTGTGAAGCGGGGGCGATTCGGCTCCCGTCCCAGGAATGGAATCCGTTCCCCGCTGCCTTCCACGGTGGCGCACCGCTGTCGGGGCTGCACGTTGAGCCCCAGCTTTTCCAGGAGGTCGGTACCTGCGATACACTCGTGGCACAGCACACTCGAGACGTAGAACTCCTGAGTGCACACCTGGTTTCCGAGACGGACCTCGAGGGAGATCCTTCCCAGCAACCCCATCCCGGCTCCGCTCGCTGTGTGCAGCGCGCAATCCGGGGCCGGCAGGCGGCTCACGTCAACCCCGAGCACGCTGCAGTGCGCGGCGCTCACGAGTGAGGCTACGGCCCCCGTGTCCAGTAGGATCCGGGTGCGCTGCCCGTTCACCTGTCCTTCCACCAGTGACGTGGCCCCCGTGATTCCTGCCACCAGCTCCCGTAGCCAGTCGCCCGTCCTCACCGCGTCCTTGGGTGTTGTGGCCGTGACCTGTGTGGGTGTCACTTGCTTACCATTATTATTACCGTCGTTTTGTTTCGGGACCTCGGTGATTGCACCCCTAGGTGGTCCACTCTCTAGGGGGCGTTGGCGTTTAACCCTTCGGTATATCTAGCGCGGGCGATCTGTGGGCAGTCTCTCATGAGATGCCCCTGACGGCCGCACATATAACACGCCCGGGGGGGGGTGGCGGCTCCATAGTGGGCACCCTGCCCGCTCCCTCTCCCCCCCGTGCGCCGCTGCCCAGACTCTGCTTCTAGTCGGGCTACCCTCCCAGCTAGCCCTCCCAACTCGGTCTGAATCGTCTCTACCGTAGTCTGCAGCGTAGTCACATGTGCCCGTACTTGGGATACGTTGTTGTCCACTTGGGTTACTTTGTTGTCGATCCCCCCGATGCCCGCCTGTATCCCCGCTACCCATCCCGGGGTGGTCTCGCGGGATACCGGAGGCCCCCTTTCCCGACCCCCTACCATCCTGGTGAGCTCCTGTTCCTCCTCTTCCTCCTCGGTGGACAGACTTGCGATGGTGCGCTCCCGTCCCAGTCCTCGGAGCTGTGCGCGTTCGCTAGCAATTCTTTCACATTTGCGCGCGCGCTCGACAAGGGCATCAAAGGAGAGGCGCGTACAGTTCACGTCTGGCTGCCACCACGCCGTGCGCATTAAGTATCGCTGGATTTTCTCTGTGGCCAGCTCCTCAATCGCTTCCGTGGTGTGCCTCGGGCGTGCGATCTTTGTTAGCTCACGCACATCCTCGGCATAATCGCGCAGGTCCTCGCCGGGTTGGCGACGGCGTGCCTCTAAGGCCGCTTTTGCCTCCTCCTCATCGCGCGTACCGAAGCGCAGATCAATTCGGCGCATCAGCTCCTCTAGCTGTGTCTGCGCGCTTGCGGGTAGGGCTTCCACAAAATCGGCTGCCCGCCCATCCAGATTCATATTAAGTTGACGTAGCGTCTGCGCGTCCGTCCACCCATTAATTTCCTTAGCACCTAGGACGTTGCGGGCAAATGCTCTCCACGAAGGTGTACCCCGGCCAGTGAATATATGCCTTATTTTCGCGTGGGGTAACGCGGGGGTTCGTACCGCTTCTGACACCAGATTGTTAGGGTCGCCGGCCCCCGGGATCTCCCCTGCCTGCGACCCTGTCCGCGAAGTACCGACGCTCCCAGACTCTCCACTAGTGTGGGAGCTGCCGCCGCCGCACTCCTCCCCTGGCGGGGAAAGGTCGTCGCGCCCCTGTTCCCCCCCCTGTGCCGTCCCCCCCCGAGTCCGGGTCTCCTGCCGGTGGGGCATCCCACTCGACCTCCCTGGGACCCGCTAGCGCTTCGCCGGCACCCAAACGCGACGCTCCCCGCCCGCGCAGTCCCACGCACCAATCACACGCGGGTAACAGGGGGTCAAAGGTCGGAGGGTAAGCGACGTCGTTCGTGCTCACTCCGACGCTTGGGGGGATTGGTTTAAACGGGTTTAAAGGGCTATGCGATGGGCATGCGTGCGAGACGGGTATCCGCTCGCAACGTGGGAGTCCGCAGCCGACGGTTCGTAGCGCACACAATCCACGCGGCGCCGCTCCACACACGCGGCGACCACCGAGAACAGCAAGCGAACCCACGCTTCCACTCTCTTTCCACACCCTCGCAAAAACCACCACACCAGTCTGTTATGTAACGACCACCGCGACAGCAAGCGCACCCACGCTTCCGCAATAACCACACCAGTCTGTTATGTAACGACCACCGCGACAGCAAGCGCACCCACGCTTCCACAAAAACCACACCAGTCCGTTATGTAACCGCCGACGATTTATTCCACCGCGTCGGCGAGCCCTTATTTAACCGAGTCAGTCGGGATCAGCGGGGCAGGACCGATCTATCTCTCGATAGTCGGCACTACACTCTACCTGTCCTCCCCTTTACCCTCTCCTGTTTTGCTCTTAAGCTAAGTCCCAACTCCCTCTCTCTCTCTTACTCACGGTTCGTCGTCACTGCCGTCTGGTCCTCGCGGCGCGTCGATACGTCCCACGGACGTTCGCGCGGCTGGACTCGGGAGTTGACGGACCTGGGGTCGACTCGAGTAGCCAGAGAACCTTTTTCCTTCGCCCTGACCCGCTTTATTCTTTCTACATCAAAGGGGCTACCTGGTGCCGACTCGCGGGCCAATCAGCTCGCTGGGATCACCCGCCAATCGGTAGGCCCATCTGTATCCCAGCATCCCCCGGGCCGTTGCTTTCAGCGACGTCCGCATCTAAATTTACCTGCTCAGCGACCCTCCAGCCAGAGGGCGACCCTGCTTTCCCGCCGCTCGTGGCTCTGCCCTCCTACCTGCCTGCTGACCCGTGTGTGTTGTGTGTGCTGTCTACCCGCGGTGGCTCGGCAGCCCCGTCGTGACCATGTAATTACAACCAAAGTCACGGCGCCGCGGTGGGTGTTAGCGTCGGGGGAGACCGTCCAATTCCCTGGCTGCAGGAAACCGTGAAGATTATCCCTTTACGAGGGCTTCTGGGTGAAAACCTGTCGGCCAGGGTGTCTCCCCACGCGCTCTAATGGTGGGGGAGTGCGTGCGTGTGTGTTCCGGTGGGGGGGGGGGGGGGTGGGGAGGTGGTGGGGTGGAGCAATGTCGGCCTCGTCGCTCGGAGCGGCGAGATCGCAGGTGGGCCGCCCGCCGATCGGCTCCGTGGCGGCGGCATCACAACACATCTTCACACTTACTCTCCGAGATACAGCTGTGTAGACAAAGACATGCTCTGGTGATCGTGTTGATGTACTGAAGGCTTTGTTTAAAACCAGGTGATATCCTATTGAGACTAAACAATGCGCCTTGAGACTTGAGTGGAAAGCACCTTAGAAATAAATGTAAATGTTTATTATGAAACGCTTCTTATGTAAGGGAGACCTCGGTCTCGAACCACAACAAATACAAGAACACGGACAGGACAGGGCACCACGTTCACCGCCATCGAGAGTAATTAAACAGGACTCGCGTATTAAAATGCAATCTTTAAACGCACACGGAAGACTACAATAAAACAGCGCTCGAGTACAACGCGTGAAACATTGTTAGGATTAAAAGTTATGAAAAAAATTTTTTGACACGGAGCAGTAAGCGTAGCAAGATTTGGGCATGGGTTCTGGTACAAATAATAACATATCCTTCCCGCCCCTTCCTCCCAGCCCCTCCCCTCCCTCCCCACTATTCGTAGTCCGGCACCTGGGGGCCCTCCGGAAACTATGGGGCCCAATGCAGTTTCACAGCCACCGGGGCAACACGCAGATTGTGGCCAAATCTTCACAGATGGACACGCTCGGTCCTCCGCCCTAATTGTTTCGGAGGAATTGCAGGAGCCGTCGAAGTCGCCAGATTTTTCATCTCCAGGGAAGGAGATTGATTGGGTCTCTGGGTCCGCCCCCCCCGCTTCACCAAACCGAGCAGGCATTTTTTTCAGATGCCAGAGGAGCCGAGTGAAACATTAATCATCGCATTCCTCCCGGCGCGTCGTCATAATCACAACCACCAGCACCATCAACATCACAACCACCACCCAACCAACCCCATCGCGTCTCCCTCTGCTCCACCCCCTGTCGCGCGTATAAAGGCACGCAGTGGATGTCTCCTGCCCAGCTCCCAGTGTTTGTCTCCTGCTATCTCCTGGTAGATCTGTGCGCCGCCGTCTCTCCCTTTGGCCGCCGTATCTCTCAGTGACAAACCTCCCCCGTGGATTCTCTGTGCGCCCGTCTCTGCTTCGCCATGACTCTCCGAGGCTGCCTGCTCCTGTCCCTGGTTATGCTGTCCGTGTGCCTGGGTACGTACATACTTTGTTGACACCCCCCCCCCGCCACCACGGAAGCGCACTCGGACACAACGCAGCCAGAGTGTAACACAGGACCTGTACTAATAGTTCACGTGTCTGCCTTAATAGGCGCTCGCTTACACAGCGCTTGCCCGAGGCAGTAAAAAAAGTGTGCGTTGACTTAGAGGTCGACACGTGTGACTCGTGCTTTATGTAATAAACGCGTGTTTCCGGGACTTGTTCGTGCTGGTTAATGTGGATCGTGATGTGTAGTCACACTTATATGTCACGCCCAGTGAGTGCTACGGTGCGTCTCTGCCCGATTGTGTCGTCATCAGCAGGCATGGTCCATCCATTGCTGGATGGAGGCGTCCTTCTCCAAGACACCGCCGCCACCTCTCACAATCCTTGCGATGTGATAATCCACCTCGCGGTGTGGCCGCGTGTGCCGTGAATGTGTATTGTCAGAGGTGGCGTTTCTACAATTAATGTTTTGTATTGTACACTTGCGCGTGCTTCTGTGTGTGTGTGTCTGTCTGTCTGGGGAGCGGTAGTGCAGTGGTTAGCGCACCGCACCGCACTACGGAGTCGAGTTCGATTCTCGCTCAGGGCCGGGGTTCCCCTTAGGTCGACTCGGCTTCAAATGAGTACAGTCTACCTGGCGCAGTGTGTAAACATCATCAGAGGGGAGACAAAGGCGGCCGGGCGTTGTGCTGGCCACCCACCCGCTCGCGTGACGTGCCGGCCTTCATAGGTGCTGCTCGGGAACAACACTTGCCCCCGACAGTCTCGACCAGGAGGGCACGGCAAGCATAATAACAAGGAGAGATATTTTTTTCGAATTCGGTGCAAAAGGCAATATTTTAAATAGCCGCCAATGCACGTGCATACCCACGTACGAACGTACCCACATACACAAAGATCCCCCCGTATAGATTGAACAGACTGTTGGGGCAAGTGCTGTAAGCGAGCACCTATGAAGGCCGGCACGGAACACGAGAAAGTGGGTTGCCAAAACCCCGCCCGGCTGCCTTTGTCTTCCCAGTGGATATGTTTACTACACCGCAACATGTACTAATTTGAGGCTGGGTCGACCTAGGGGAGGCCCAGGATCGGTTCAAATAATCGTCACTGGTGTTGGCCGTGAGCGGGAATCGAACTCTGGACGCTGGTTTCGTAGCGCAGCGCGCTAACCACTACACCACCGCTCCCCAAACACACAAACACAACAACCGCCATTCGCCACTCAGTGGCGGAGACGTCGGCACGGCGCACCCTCGATCCGGTTCAACAAAAGCTGTTTCGGTATGCGGTGGCTGAGCATGCGGGGCTACATGACCCAAGCCAACGCAGACTTGCCTGCCGGAGGAGCTCACCGGTTAGACTTTCTTTCAGATCTTCCAAGGATTTGTGAGCTACTCACACAATCCAACCTGGTTAAACTCAGGATGGATGTTACTAACTGGCATTAGGGGGGTCCACGTTTGGGAAGCATCGAGAAGGGAGAAGGGAGGGCATGACCGTGGCTGAGTAAACTCGAAGCTTCGTGTGAAGCGGCTGCGTATCACACAGTAAGTGTTACGCAACCGCTCGACTGATTCAGAGTGAGACCTCTGCTGTCAAACCCGAGCCGGTCATGAGCACACTGCTCAGGTATGGAAAACTCTCCACTCTCTCCATAACTGCCCCATCACCAATTGGGAGTTGTGGGGGTGGAATGTTTGATGGCACAAAATACCCGGGCAGGTGCTTAGTTTTCGTGGGACTGATGGTAAGGCCCCACCTCTTGGTGGCAAGCTCCAGATTCAGCAGCAGCGCCTCCAACTCCTCCTCTGAGTGAGCAGCAATCACCAGATCATCAGCATACATAACATGGTTGACCAACAGGGAGCAATCCCTTGACCGCACCCAGGCAGGCGAGGGGAGGCCCATGACCGGTTTGCCGTGAGCGAGAATCGAACCCTAGTCGCCAGGTTCGTGGCGCTCCCGACACACCCATACTTACACACACCCATACATACACCCATACACACACCCATACACACACCCATACATACACCCATACACACACCCATACACACACCCATACATACACCCATACATACACCCATACATACATACATACACCCATACACACAACCATACATACACCCATACATACACCCATACACACACCCATACACACACCCATACATACACCCATACATACATACACCCATACATACACACACCCATACATACACCCATACATACACACACCCATACATACACCCATACATACATACACCCATACATACACCCATACATACACACACCCATACATACACACACCCATACACCCATACATACACACACTTATACATACACCCATACATACACACACCCATTCATACACCCATACATACACACACCCATACATACACACACCCATACATACACCCATACATACACACACCCATACACACACCCATACATACACACACCCATACATACACACACCCATACATACACAAAGATCCCCATATAGCCTTAACAGACTGGAGGGGCAAGTGCTATTAGCGAGCACCTATGAAGGCCGGAACGGTACACGAGGGGGTGGGTGGCCAGCACCACGCTCGACCGCCTTTGTCTCCCGAGTGGCAATGTTTACACACCGCACCAGGTACTCATTTGAGGCTGAGTCGACCTAGGGGAGGCCCGGGACCGGTTCAGATAATCGTCACTGGTGTTGGCCGTGAGCGGGAATCGAACCCGGGTCGCCAGGTTCATAGCGCAGCGCGCTAACCTGGCCGCCTTTGTCTTCCCTATGCTAACGTTTACACACCGCACTAGGCATTCATTAGAGGCTGAGTCGACTCAGGGGGAGAAGCCCAGGACCAGTTAAAATATTCACCGTCACTGTTATTAGGTCATGGAGCGGGAATCGAACGTGGGTCGCTGGGTTTTGTAGCGCAGTGTGCTAACCGCTGAGCCTAGCGTGCCTAAATGTAACATTCGGACCCCGTGCCCCTACTGGGACATCTGTGAATAAGAGCTTCATGGCTCATCGGATTCCTCCAGTCTAAATACAGATTCTGACGAGTATTCTGATTCTAAGCATGTATGTCTTTGTCACCCCTGTGCGTATATCATGCCTGCCTTATCTATGCAATGCCTGTGTTCGTGTGTCGCTATGTAATTCCTGTCTGCCATTCATGTGTGTCTGTAGGTCATGCGTGCCTGTCTGTCTGTCTGCTTGACTCTCTTGTTGTGCCCGTGTGACATGTCTGTCCGTCTGACTACAGATTTCACTGCCTCCCAGAACGAGGTTCCAGGAACCACGCAGGAGGTATGGGTTCCTGCCAAATCTGCTCATCACCGTCGGTCATAATCATCAACTCCGGCGTTATCCTTCAGGATAATCATCAACTTCGTCGTCACTGCTATAAATCACCATCATATAATCATCAACAATATCCGGCCGGGTAGAGTGATCGGCTCGCGTCAGAAGGTTGTGAGTTTCAATTCCTGTTTGGGGCGGTGAGGGGATTAATCATTCAGTCCAACATCCACCCAGGGTCGATAAACTTGGTATCAATTTGAGGTACAGACACCCTGGCAAAGAAATGTGGAGATTTCCACCAATGGCTCAGGGCTGTAAACGCGAGGTGAACACCAGCATTCAGTGCTCATTTGAGCTGAAGATCCCTTGGACACCCATCATTATTACTACCATCATCAACCGCCATCATAACGTCATAACATCATCATCCATCGTCATCAGCTATAATGCCTAATGGTTGCTGTGTTCGCCCTTCTCCACGCTCATCGTCGTGCCAAGAGTCGTTGCTGCCGTTGATGTGACTCGCGCTCATCGCCGTCGGCGTTGCTGTTGTCTTCCTCGGGTGCTCAGTTCGACTGCGAGCGCTACTCTTCACGCCGCTGCACGCGCATGTACCTCCCCGTGTGCGGCACGGACGGGAAGACCTACCCCAACAGCTGCATGCTCTGCTACATGAACTGGTGCGCGCGGGGCTCGTGGGCCAGATGGGGCGCGGGGGAGGGGGGTGGCAGCGACGTGGACATTTTTAGGTCCCACCATAAATATTGACCGAATGCAGAGAGCCCAGGGCGTGTGACTCAGACAGGTGGAGAACCACAGGCAGCGATGGAGAGCGTTGAACGTAGAGATATGGGGGCAGGTGGGGCGAGGCAAACCCAGTGGAATGGAGACGGGCAGAGAAGGCCACAAAAGGAAGACGGAGAGACGTATATGGTTTACAGATCGTTTTCTATGGCCCCAAATAAGTGGGGGTTGGGGCGGGCTCCCTGTGTACATACACATGCAGCACAGCGTAAAAATGGTTTTGGTGGGTTGGGGTTATAAGAGTGCCGCGGTAACGAGATGTTAACTACCTCGCCTGGTATACAGGAGGGCATGGTTCGATCCCGACCCTGACGCCTGTATATCTGGAGCTTGCATGTTTTCCACATGGTCGCGTGGATTTTTCTCCGGGTCCTCCGATTTTTATCTACACATTTATAAACATGCGTTTAGAGAATTTGGCTGCGATAAATATCCATGATATGCCACTTCATTTGCCTATCATTTGTGGCCAGGTCGCTTCTGAAAAAGAGCTGTATAGCTCAGTGCATCTTATCTGCTAAAATAAAAAATAGAGTTTTATCAATTAGCTTCATAATTTGCCCTTGGTGGATGCGATAGACACAGATGCCTTGACACCCCAAGGTGTTCCTGACCTCGTGATCTCTCTCTCTCTCTTTCTCTGCGCAGGATGTACTCTCGCAATGTGAACATGGCACACGAGGGGCTGTGTTGAACGCAGCGACCCGGATTCAGACCCTAATCCTGGCAAGATCCGGGGGCGGAGGAGCCCAGAGTGGAGATCAGCGTCCTGCATCTGCCGAAACCACCTTCTGCCAGAGCCGATCGTCGTTTGTTATATTAGTCTAATTATAGTTGACATTACGTGAATGTAACCTCACAATAGTAAAATGTGTGTGCATCTGACGATTGTGGATATAGTTTAAAACAAAATAATAATTCGGGGCATTGTGGAGAATATAACAAAAACAAATAAGCAGACAATATTCCACTATCCGTCCCTTAGCTGTGTCTCCACATAAACAAATAAATACAAATATTTTACACATCACGTCGGCCACGTGGCCCTTCCTTCTGGGAGCGCAACATTTCAACAGCATTGGTTCAACACAAGCAAAACTCTGGACCGGTTTCGACATTTAATGTCTCATCAGCAGTCAGGCTTGGTTTGAACCATTGCTGGGGAACTGGCAGATGCTTCTAGGCACTGACCCCCTGCCCCCCCAACTCACCCTCTGTTCGACGTTCGACGCAAAGTTATATCATGCATTATGCAAAATATTTGCGTATTTATTTTATAATTAAAAATAAATTCATTCATTAACGAAGGCATAGACCCAAAGCAAACGGCTCTTATCTTGTAGCTACATACCTCGGCTGTGTGTACCAGGCTGTCCAACCCCCACTAAGCTAAATAATAAGAAAAAAAAGAATTTAAAGTTACCGCCAGGCATGCCGCTATTGCGCTCTGATAACATTACTGTGACGTTGCTCGTACATAAACGCATTTCATCTTTTGTATGTTGGGAAGTCGGATGGGCAACGTTGATACGCTCATGTTGAAGTTGGCGAGTAAACCTGGTGAATATCTGAAATACCGTTGCCAGTGAATACTCGGTGCGGGCAGTAGCATTGTTGTGCGTGCCACAGTTGGGGTTGCCGACTCGCAAGCAGAGCGATAAGACTCACAATGATGCCCACGGACTGGCACACAAAACCACGTGACTTTCTGAGTAATGGAAGCGGGCAGTGGTGTTTCTGTGCTCCATCGTTTGAGATCGGTGACCGCAGTCATAGTGTGCTGTTGTTGTCATTTGGCGTAGGGGATGTGATGTTTACTTTGTGATGTCTTTGCAGTGTTACGGGCGGCACCATTGAGAATAAATTGAAAGTATTTTCTTTTTGTCAGTGACAAAGCTTAAAATTCACGTGGAATGGCCCGAGACGCACAGTTTATGTGGGTGTGTCGCTGAAACTAAACTAAAACTTTTTATATTTTACCAGGTAAGGCCCACTGTGCTAGACAGCTCTTTTTCAGGAGCGACCTGGCGACAAATGATAGCTCAATGAGATACTGTGTGTCTAAGGTTCTGTCTTACTTTACACTTATACTCCATCGGGAAACTATGCACCCCACTTTGCGGTGTTTGTATAAGCTGATGATTGTTCCTGTTATTGCTTATTCGTACCGATTTATTTGCAATAATCTAAGTTTACTGTTTAATTCACCGAGCACATACATCCACTTGTAGACATTTAAAACGCACCGCACATCATTGAGGGGTGAGAGGCGACTCAACTCATCATCTTATCAAGGGTGATAAAATAGATACCATGTTGTGGGGAATCAAAAGTGGTCGTTCGGTCGAGAGGCTAGCCTCTGCCATAGGATTGTGGAATTTCCTCCACTGGTTGAGGGCAATTAATGGAGACGAGTGTCGTCGGGAGACGCTTTAGGTTTTTTCACAATACACTGATCATAAACCGTGAATGTAGATTCAGCAGTGGATAGATCATGGCTGATGATTTAGTTGCAGAAACGAGTGGGAACAGTGAACCCATCTCAGTCGTGTCCTCGGCCCCCACAATCCAACATCTGGGTCTCGTACTGCATGGGCTGTGTTACATTTGGGTTACACAACTGCCACCATCCCGACTACTCCAACCACCACCACCACCTCAACCATCGTCGCAGCCACCTCGACAACCACTCTGCACAACCGCCGTTGACTCTCTTGCCACCACCACGGTCAGCTCCACCCCAGTATGGGTCCTCGCCAACATCACCTCAACGCTGGCAACTTCCCACTGCACTGCCATACAAACAGCAGTCAACAGGCACCTGCTTTTCCTGACCACGACACAAACTGCCATGACATCTACACAAGTACGATGAATGTTTGATGTTTACGTAATAAAATATGACGTATATATCTTTGATTAAAGTGATGAACGGTGCGGGGATTTTCATGAATTAGGCGCTTAAACGCAGCTGCGTCTCATAGCCATCACCGACGACGATTGTACAATGTTGGCAGCTGCACCGAATGCTCGGCGAGCAGCGTTTGGGAAAATGCCGGTTAGTGTCATTTTCTTGCCGTGGGCTTTAAGGACGATGACCTTCCACGCTTGACGCTGCCAAAGCACCGCGAGTGCGTTGCTCTCGGTGCGAAACGTGAGGGCATTGAACGCAGAGAGCATGCTCATAGCCCAAGAGCCCAGGGACAGATATTTCACTTGCGGCTACCACCTGGGGTGGCGGAGACTTTTCGCAGTTCCGTTTTTATAAACGTGGCTGACAGCATTGACTTGTGATAACCACTTGGAATGAGTGGGGCTCTCAAGTAATTCACTCTCATTGACCGTACACATGAATCGGTGTGACTAAAGTTTTGCAACCTTAAGTGGTACTTAATAAATGTTTTATTTTAGCAGGTAAAACCCACCGAGCTAAAGCTCTTTATCAGAAGCGTCCTGGCCACAAATTATAGCTCAACGAAGTAGCTAATCATATGGACATTTACAACAGCCAAATACTATCAATGTGGAGGGAAAAAAACCGGAGGACACAGAGAAAAATCCACGTGACCACAGAGAGAACATGCAAACTCCAAATATACAGGCGTCAGGGTCAGGATCGAAGACGCAACTTCCTTATACAAGTTGAGATATCTGACATCTCGACACCGTGGTGCCCGTGGTACTGATTTATGCTCTGGCCCATGGATTATATAATGCGTGCCATCACGTGACTTTTCACTTCCTTGCACCTGATTGTCTTCACATATAATAGGTGACGTTTCTGGCAATGGACCTTCACTTACAGCCACATTTTTCATTTTCAGATTTACCACAATAGTGATAGAGTGTGCCAATCACAATTAGTTCCCAAGTTAAAACCTTGAAATGGGGGGCTCAACTCGGCCCATCATCTCTCAAATGCTGATACCATAAATCAAGTACCGCTTCGTGTTGAATTCAATGGCGGAGGGACTGGTCTCTGCCATTGGAAAATTCCCATCACCAACTCGAGGCCTCCCAACAAAAATGAGTGGGGGGGAGATGCTTATTGTTCTTGAAAACATCAGAGTCCGCCGGCTCCTGAGTTATAAACGTGTTTATTCAACACAGACGGCGCGGCAGTTACGGCACAAACATCCCTGAAGCCCTTTCCATACACAAGAATGCTGGTAAATGAGAAAATGCATCTGTTTCACGTCAGCATATTTACATGCTTTTACTCTGGCCGCGCATGCAAATCACTTGCATAACGTGCTGCTTTGGCAGGGAGCAATGGTGTTGTTGCTGGGGCAGATCTGACCCGGGCCTTACTTGGGCAACCAAACCTTTCTCGTCGCGTGCCAACCAAGGACCCCGCGTCTGGTGTATTTAAGCACTGCGTGAAGTATGGTTTTATTCTAATTCTGTGTATTCCAGCGCCAAAGATTTACAAATGTTGCCATGCAGCAGATACTTTCGAGCGTATAAGGGAGTGCCGTCTCAAAGACAGAGGGTGGAAAATATTCTTTTTTGGATGGCCGAGATTTTTTTTTATGGGGTAAATAAATATATTTCTATTGAAAATTATTGCCCAAAAACGAGAGAGAGCAAGGTTGACACGAGTAGAGCACATGGGAAATTGACCCGCCTGGGGGCCAAGGGTTCGTCAATTGCGTCAGTCTACCGCATTCCCCGCGAGTAGGGAGCTGATGCTCTCTCATTGTGTCCGGACACAAGAGGTATTGCTGTGACAGCTATGTTGCGGTTGCGCCCGATTCAAGAGCCGAATGGCTCACAGGGCTATACCAAATCAATGAAACGAAACTGTTTGAATAACTCAAGCTGGTAAAGAGGTTTGACGAGGTTAAGCTCTATTCACCCTAGCATAGGCCTACTAGTCTAGAGGGTGCCGCGGTGGCAAGATGTTAACTCCCTCGCCTGGTATACAGGAGGTCGCGAGTTGGATCCCGAACCTGACGCCAGTATATTTGGAGTTTGCATGTTGTTCCCATGGTCGTGTGGATTTTTCTCCAGGTCCTTCGGTTTTTCCATCCACATTTAGAATCAACATCCGTTCAGAGTATTTGGCTGCTATAAATTTTCACGTAAGCCACTTCGTAGAGCTATCATTTGTGGCCAGGTCGCGACTGAAAAAGAGCTATAAAGCTCAGTGGGCCTTACCTGGTATAATAAAAGTTTTTTTAGTTCAGCTTACTAGCCTAGCCTGACTGGAGTGAATCCAGAAGCACAATCGATCCGTGTCCACATCTTGCCACAGCGTTCCTGTACACGATGCAACGTCGCGCCACTCAATGCGAGAATTCCGACCGGAAGTTTATTTACTTCGTGACAAGACACGAAGCCAGTCACTGCCACCAGCACAGCACACGGTGGCCTAACCACACTACGCTACGAACCAAGTGACCCCAGTTCGATTCCCACTCACGGTCAAAACCAGAAGACAATTATTTGAACCGGTCCTGAGCCTCCCCTAGGTTGATTCAGCCTCAAATGAGTACCTGGTGTGGTATGTAAACATCACCACTAGGGAGACAAAAGGTGGTCGGGCGTGGTGCTGGCCACCCACCCCCTCGTGTGCACGCCGGCCTTCATAGGTGCTAGCTAACAGCACTTGCCCCAACAGTCTGTTAAGGCTATATGGGAGATATTTGTCTTTGTTATAGGCAAGGATGGGTGGATTACTTATAGATTTGTGGAACTCCCAAACCCACAGGCCTACGAGGTGGCCAGGAGCTGTTAAGCACGTAAGTTTGTGAACCCATGCATGTGGATGTTTGCGTGTTAGACCCCCGTACGCATGAACCATGTTCTGTGTTTAATCCCGATTTCCTCCAACATGAAGCAAAACGCTCTCCTTAATCATATTTGGCCAAACATTCCAGTGTAGAGGACCCTCCTTAAAACGAGTCTTCAAAGTCAGCGAGGCTTTCCTTGATAAGTTAATGAAATGGGAACAAAAATATTTTACGAGTAAAATTTTTTAAAGACAGTCTTCGCGAAGCCTTCATCTGGCAGTGACTTTCTCATGATTAATGACGATGATGATAACGTTCGTTTAATTTTGTTTTACCCTCCCATCTCGTTGTCGGCGTTGAAATCAATCGGCGAGGACGACGGTGGGGCTGCCCCGCCCGTCGCGCCTCTGCTTCACGTTCTCCACGAGCGGCTCGGGACGCCTGAGTTTGTACCGCGAGGAGCGACGCAGGCGTGGGCCACGCACGCCCACGATGGCCGGCAGCAGCGGCGGCGACCGCAGGGCGCAGCTCGTGCCCGCCGGCGTGTAGGCCCGCAGTGAGACGCTCGCGCCCGGCATTGGCGTCACCGCCACCCAGCCTGGCGCACCGGAGAGACGGGAGCGGGGGTGCACGGGGGTGCGCACCAGTGGTGACGGTGGTGGCGGTGAGGTGTGACGAGAGGGGAAGGGAAAAGAAGGTGGTGTGTGTATTGAGTGGGGTGGGAGGGAGGGAGGGAGTGGGAGGGAGCACAAATGAGCACAGGCATTAAAAAATCGACTCCTCGGTTTGTGTTAACTTTTAACAGAATATGTTGAGGCCGTAATGTGCCATTGCAATCGTTGGCAGCAATTGTTATCGGCAACACCTTTACTCGAGACGTGAGTGGAAGGCGTGTTACAAATAAATGTAAATTATTATTATTAGTGAGCAACGGGGGAAACTTGGTACGGCAATGGCGTAGTGTTGGAGTTTGATCTACCGAATGAAAAACAGGTTTGTTTGAGAGGGTGTTTCGTGAACAATGATTGGTTTACAGAGCATACAACCACGGGTTGTCATATGACCTCTATCTGTGATCTGATTGGATCCTGTCATCCCAGCTGTCCACTCGGGAGCCTCAATCAGATTTGTTTTAAAATTCGTGCAACTAAACTTTTTTACACTAGAAAATAGTGCAGCAACTAATTGTTGGTAACAGCTACTGGCAGTAACCGAATTGATTAGTTCAATCAATCCTGCAGCAGCTAGAGGATTGATGTTAACCACGGTGGTAAAAAGATTATTAAAAAATCAACCATGTGGGAGGTAAATCGCTACTGTGGCAAATTTCTATTAAATTTGATGTTTTTTCTGCATTAGTATAAAGCCGTTCCAGTACGTCTATTCATACGTATAGTATTAAAATGTAACAAATACAAACTATTATTATTATTACGTGCCTATCACATGGTCACCCTAATCTGGATATAAAATGAATTCCTGTCAAGTCAAAGCTTTCCTTTGCAATGCAACCCTGGGAATTTTGGCTGCCTTTCAATCATCAAAAATGTCGCTTACTTAACATATCTCCAGTAATCCCTAGGCCGTGGAAATTATGCCATGGTACCGCTCGCTCGACTATTGGGCTCAGAGCCTCTGTAGTGGATCCAGATTGGTGTGACAGCCAGCCCCAGAAACTGCCATCAAACTGCAATGCTGCAGCCTTGCTTCATCACACGTCTCCACTGCTTAAACAGAGGAAGTTGGGTGCAAAGGTTAAAGTAAACTAAAAACGAATACTATTTTTATTTTACCAGGTAAGGCCCACCCTGAGCTATATAGCTCTTTTTCAGAAGCGACCTAACCACAAATGATAGCGCAATTAAGCGGCTTATCATGTGTAAATGTATAGCAGCCAAATACTCGAAACGCACGCTTCGAAATTTGGAGCGGAAAACCGGAGGGGCCCAGAGAAAAATCCACGCGACCGAGGGGAGAGAGACACGCAAACTCCAAATATGCAGGCGTCATCAGGGTCGGGATTGAGCCCACAACCTCCTGTATACCAGGCGAGGTAGTTAACATCTCGCCACCGTGGCGCCCGGCTAGTTGGAAGGGCGTCTGCTGGAAGAAGCTCTAGATAGGCCCTCTAGGGAATATTTTTTTGGCCTACTCATCCACGTTGGCAAGGGCTCTTGGAAGAGGATGGAGTACCCACGCTTTACCGTACCCACATGTGTTGTGCCGATCCATCATCTCGCTGTGGTATACCGGCATTCTCGCGTTTGGCGAACGGACGTGTGGGGAGTCGTGAAGCAATGCACACTTATTACGAGGTTTCTCTTCACGAATGGAAAGCGTTAGGAATGGTGCTGAGAAAGGCGACAGGCCTGCTGGGGAACAGCCGCTGCAGTGGGGAGGACGATGATTATCGGGCAGGCAGTCTTGGCCACTGACCAACAGAGCGCTGTGCCGTTAAGGGCCGAATAATGAATAAAGTTTTCATATTAAAGTTATGATGTGCGATTATAAAGTCTTTTTTTTCGCATTAGCAATCTAAAAACTCGTGTCGGACAGCTCTGAGCACACCTAGGGGTGATTTACACAACAAGTGGTTGATCTTTAACACCAACCTTAAGCATGGGCCAAACCGGGTACAATAAAATAAAAACGTTTATTTTGGTTTCGTAATGTTCTGGTGTTGTGTGGGCGTGGTGTGGGTGAGAATGTGGGCATTGTGAAGATGGCGTGGGTATGGCGTGGGTATGGCGTGGGTGTGAATGATTGCATGAGTGCGAGTAATAGTATGGGTTGTGGTCCAGAGTAATCCACATGTGGTGGGTGAGGTGAGCGTGCTGATTGTGGTGCAAGTGTGAGGGTGGTGTGTGGTACATTGAGTGGTGTGAGCGTGGTGAGTCGATGCTAGTGAGCTGCGAGTGAAGTGGGAGGGAGCTGCGAGTAAAGTGGGAGGGAGCTGCGAGTGAAGTGGGAGGGAGCTGCGAGTAAAGTGGAAGGGAGCTGCGAGTAAAGTGGGAGGGAGATGCGAGTGAGGTGGGAGGGAGATGCGAGTGAGGTGGGAGGGAGCTGCGAGTGAGGTGGGAGGGAGCTGCGAGTGAGGTGGGAGGGAGCTGCGAGTGAAGTGGGAGGGAGCTGTGAGTGAGGTGGGAGGGAGCTGCGAGTGAGGTGGGAGGGAGCTGCGAGTGAGGTGGGAGGGAGCTGCGAGTGAAGTGGGAGGGAGCTGCGAGTGAGGTGGGAGGGAGATGCGAGTGAGGTGGGAGGGAGCTGCGAGTGAAGTGGGAGGGAGCTGCGAGTGAAGTGGGAGGGAGCTGCCAGTGAGGTGGGAGGGAGCTGCGAGTGAGGTGGGAGGGAGCTGCGAGTAAAGTGGGAGGGAGCTGTGAGTGAAGTGGGAGGGAGCTGCGAGTGAGGTGGGAGGGAGCTGCGAGTAAAGTGGGAGGGAGCTGCGAGTGAGGTGGGAGGGAGATGCGAGTAAAGTGGGAGGGAGCTGCGAGTGAGGTGGGAGGGAGATGCGAGTAAAGTGGGAGGGAGATGCGAGTGAAGTGGGAGGGAGCTGCGAGTGAGGTGGGAGGGAGCTGCGAGTAAAGTGGGAGGGAGCTGCGAGTGAAGTGGGAGGGAGCTGCGAGTAAAGTGGGAGGGAGCTGTGAGTGAGGTGGGAGGGAGATGCGAGTAAAGTGGGAGGGAGCTGTGAGTGAAGTGGGAGGGAGCTGCGAGTGAGGTGGGAGGGAGCTGCGAGTAAAGTGGGAGGGAGCTGCGAGTGAGGTGGGAGGGAGATGCGAGTAAAGTGGGAGGGAGCTGTGAGTGAAGTGGGAGGGAGCTGCGAGTGAGGTGGGAGGGAGCTGCGAGTGAGGTGGGAGGGAGCTGCGAGTAAAGTGGGAGGGAGCTGCGAGTGAGGTGGGAGGGAGCTGTGAGTGAGGTGGGAGGGAGCTGCGAGTGAAGTGGGAGGGAGCTGCGAGTGAGGTGGGAGGGAGATGCGAGTAAAGTGGGAGGGAGCTGTGAGTGAAGTGGGAGGGAGCTGCGAGTGAGGTGGGAGGGAGCTGTGAGTGAGGTGGGAGGGAGCTGCGAGTAAAGTGGGAGGGAGCTGTGAGTGAGGTGGGAGGGAGCTGCGAGTGAGGTGGGAGGGAGCTGCGAGTGAGGTGGGAGGGAGCTGTGAGTGAGGTGGGAGGGAGCTGCGAGTAAAGTGGGAGGGAGCTGTGAGTGAGGTGGGAGGGAGCTGTGAGTGAGGTGGGAGGGAGCTGCGAGTAAAGTGGGAGGGAGCTGTGAGTGAGGTGGGAGGGAGCTGCGAGTGAGGTGGGAGGGAGCTGCGAGTGAGGTGGGAGGGAGCTGCGAGTGAGGTGGGAGGGAGCTGCGAGTGAGGTGGGAGGGAGCTGCGAGTGAGGTGGGAGGGAGCTGCGAGTGAGGTGGGAGGGAGCTGTGAGTGAGGTGGGAGGGCGCTGCGAGTGAGGTGGGAGGGAGCTGCGAGTAAGCAGCAATTGAGGTGCAAGCGAGCTGTGAGGGTGGACCGCTCACCAGCGGACGAGAGTTTGATGTCGGCCACCGCCTCTGTGACGGTGATGCCCGTGAGCTCCACGTCCATGGGCACGAGCGGTGGGAAGCGCCGCATCCTCTCTTCGTTGCCCCTGGGCACCTGAATGATGGCGCTCGTATGTCATATGGGCCTTGTCAATCCATTGCTGGATGAAGGCCTCAAAACCGCTGTGCTGGTCGCGGAGGGGGGGGTTGTGTGACCATACTTCACCGCACAGCTCTGGACGAATGGGTGAAGGCAGGGTGCACGGTACCGGTTCAGACATCGCTCTTGGCCACTGACATTAGCCGTGGCTGAGAATCTAACTTGGGGTCATCGCGTTCACAGCGCGGCACACCAAGAATTGCGCAACGGCTCCGTTCCACTCGCTCTTGTTTATTCAACCTGAATACAATCATCATCTTATGAATGATTTATTGGTAGAGTGGCTCGGCAAGCACCATTTCGGCATCGCCTCGGCACGACAGCTGTGTACACACGAGCCCGTCCTTGTGCCAATTTTGCCATTTAAGTCTGAATGCAGAGTAACGGTCACCCCCCCACCCCACCAGTGCGTTGGGCAGGCATTCGTAGCAGGCGGAGCTCTGGGTGGAGGGGAGCGCGCCAAGGGCCATTGCAGTCCTCTCGTCAACGTCTGCGTAGGGGGTGAAGTGACGCTCACGGCATACATTGTCCCTCCGTGTTCCCCCCCCCCCCCCCCGTTCTGCTGTGTTCCCCCTTGTTCACTGCGTGCACCGCTGCAGGCGAGTGGCCAAATTGTGGCAAGATTGAGTACTTGGCTCCCCGATGACCCCTCATGGCGAAAAAACGTAAACTCTCTCATGCCCTGACGTTGGTCTACAGCGACACGGGAGAAAGTTTGTGTCCGTTCTGGAGGTCGCAGGCCATGCATGCCCTCTCAAAAATCAAACACAATGTGGTGCACAGTGTAGCTGAAGGCCAACATGGAATGAGGCCAATAATACGATGGTAATTGCAGAGCAAAACAAATTCTACAAAAAAGCACAGGCGTGAGGGTCGGGATCAAACCCATGACCTCCTGTATACCAGACAAAGGCGTTAACATCTCCTCAACGCGGCATCGATTGCCCCCCCATCCCCAAACACGAGTGACCCCACTCCCCCCACTGCCCCCCTCACCGCCCCGCACCTGCAGCAGCTCCCCTCCGAGGTGCTTGTTGTAGACCTCGTCCGCCCGCTCCAGCGCCGTGAGGTGCACCGGCAGGAGGTTGGAGGCCACCACGGTGAACCAGGCGGACTTCTCTCCCTGCCGGACAAGGGGCAGCCAGGGCAGGGAGTGGTTTCACGTGCAACGACACTCACACTCAATATCATCGTTATTTCAAGGCGTGGTCTATCCACTGCCGGACGAAGGCTTCCACATGCCGTCGCCGCCTTTCGTGATCCGCCAACGACTCATTTGCAGCGACAGCGCTGAGCGTCGTCTGAGCATGGGGGTCGCTTTAACTCGTCACTTTGGGATTCCAGTTTGTCAGGGCACTTTTAAATTCACTCATGCCGTGCAAGTTAAAAACACGGTTCACGGTTGATCACAATCACCATAGTCGTGTCGACAAAAACTTATCAACAGCTTGAGAGGAGGCTGCCTGCATCAACCCCATGACTCTGACCACCCCCCCCCACACCTGCAGGAAGTCAATGCGGCCCAAGCCGCCTAGGAAGAGGGTGGTGCCGGGCTTGAGCAGGAACGTGCGCGGGATGATGGCGCGCATCGGCACCACGACCTTCAGCTCCTCCTCCGTCAAAAGGTTCAGCACCTGCACACGAGCAAGCACAACACGCTAGTCCCGCTCGCAGCACAAGCGCAATCAATTCCAACCCAGGATATCAAGTGCTTCCACTTAGCCACAATGAAACCCCTATTAGAAAGCCACTAGAGCTATGCACTTTTACATTTAGATTGAACACTCAATTCTTTAAAAATGTTTCTTGTGTTTAGTTTGTTGTCCTTCTCCCACACCTCCGATTAGCACGGTTGACTATGTACGGTGCGAAACAAGTTCAACATACATACATACAGAGAGAGGCAGAATGTTAAGTCATAGGGCTTAAACCCTCGATCTCAGTGGTGCCAGCTGAAGCCTCCGACACAGCCATTATGTACCCTCGAGAGAGAGAAAGAGCCACCCGGCCATAGGGCTTGAACCCAGGATATCAGCAGGGCCAGCACGGCAATCACGGGAACCCCCACTCCGAGCCACCTGACTCACGCAGTCTCGCTTGATGAGGCCTGGCGTGTCATAGAACCAGTGAGCGTCTCTCAGCTCCAAGTAGGTGAACTCCTCGTGCTGCTCGTTGCTGAAGTTTGTGGTAACCGAGGCGGCTCGCCTCCTGGTGCCACTGCCACCACCGCCGTCGCCACCCCCGTGATGCTCACTTGAGACGTCGTCCATCGACAGCGCCAGATCGTCGGGATTCCACTCCAGAGTCTGCCCCTGCTGCCGGTGCTCTCGCTGGCAAGGGGTTAAGAACGTGCGACCCACGCGACCTGTACCAAGCGGCATGAGCCACGCGGGAGGAAAGGGCGCAATCGTTAATTGGGAGGTGTCTGCGTTTTTGAAAATTTGAAGAGTCCATGTCATGGCTGTGCGAGTTTTTATTCAAAATGTTTTATTTTACCAGGTAAGGCCCACTTGGCTATGCTATGAAGCTCTTTTTCAGAAGCGACCTGGCCACAAATGAGAGCCCAATGAAGTGGCTTATCATGTGGAAATTTATAGCAGCCAAATACTCTTAAAGCATGTATCTAAATCGTCTTTGGTTCTTTCGGTAAAGTCACGTAGAATGAGAATAAAATAATAAATTGATAAAATAAAATAACACAATAATATTCTCACGACGTTTCGGCCACAACACAAGCGGCCTTCATCAAGTGAAGGGACGATACTGTCTGGAGGACAGCGCTGTTGTGGCCGAAACGTCGTGAGAATATTATTGTGTTATTTTATTTTATCAATTTATTATTTTATTCTCATTCTACGTGACTTTACCGAAAGAACCAAAGAAGATTGATCCTTGCAGTCACGAAAGCTTTAAATCATGTATCTAAATGTGGAGGGAAAAACCGGAGGACCCAGAGAAAATTCCTCGCGAGCACGGGGTGAAAATGCAAACTCCAAATATACATGTGTCAAGGTCTGGATGGCACCCACGACCTCCTGTATACCAGGCGAGGTAGTTAACATCTCACCACCATGGACGTGCCCCTAGAGCAGAGAACAATTTCATTTCTAAACACAGACATTGGTCAAATGTCCCAAGCAGGAATCTCTTTAAATTTCGAAAGTCTTTAAAAGTTTTCTTCATCAAGGAAACATTTTGCATATTATGGTGTGCCATTGCTCCCGAATAGAAAAGCATAACTTAAATATTTTGCAAGAACAGACGCACCAACGAGGTACCCCTGGCGTTTGAGCTGCTCAAGCGAGGCTTGCTCGTTTTCCTGGAGGTCATCCAGGCTCTTCTCTCTGTCCGCTTTGAGCCTCTGCAGTCGTCTGAACATGCGCTCCGGCAGGGGGTTGATGATGGGGAACTTGAGCAAGTTCAAGGTGGTGCCTGAAAAAGGAGAGTCATGTGAAACGTCAACAATTTTCACCACCATCTTTCTCGGGCTGCTGTGCAGCTGAGAATATTGGCAGAGGGTGGAGTGGTGCCTTAGCAGTTTGCGAACGGCGCGCAACTCCACTGTTTGCTGTTTTTTTTACTTATCTTAACATGACACTTACATTGTTATATTTTGGTGAGCCCAGGTATCCCTTAAATAGCAAAGAGACTTTTGTCTCAACGGGTTCCCAGCTGGCTGAAGCACAGGGCCTGTCTGTATAGGGTTAGGTGTTAAGTGATGGAGCAAGGATTAGGGCTGCTTGTTCGGGTTTGGTGATAACGGTTAGGATTAATTGTGTTCAGGTTATGGAGTTCGAATTAGCGGTTACGGTTAGGGGTTAAGTTTGGTTGAGGATGGGTTGGTTAGTAATTAGAGGTAGTCGAGTTACTGTTGGGCTTAGGGCTGTCTCTCCCTCCTCAATGCTCCACGAAATGTGACCGCAGCAGCAACAACAACAACAATTCCTCCACCCAACACGAGCTCGAGTTAGGACGGGGTTGTACCGGGCCACGGCGAGATGGTCGCTCTCTTGATCACGTCCGGGGTCTTCGCTTTGCACAGATCCGACTCCATGAGGGTGTTGAAGAGCGTCGACTTGCCCACGTTGGTGGTGCCGATGAGGTAGATGTCGCCCTTGTGTTTCCACGAGCTCTGGATTTTGCTGATGAGCCCCTCCACGCCGTAGCCCGTCTTGGCGCTGATGAGGTGCACGCCCTTGATGTTGCGGCCGGGACACATGCCGGCCTGCGCACACATCTCCACCAAGCGCTCCCTCAGCCGTTTCAAGTAGCCCCTCGAGTCCGGCGGGACGAGGTCAATCTTGTTGCCGAGGACGAAGATGGACTTGTTGTCGCCGACGAGGTCGACCAGGTCGGTGATGATGGTGTTGGGCAGGTCCAGCACGTCCACCATGCACAGCACGAGCACACCCCTGTGTCGCACCCGAGCGACGATCCTCCTGTACTCGTCCTCATCCACGCGCACGCGCAGCGCCATGGAGTGGTGCACCAGCAGGTGGCAGCGTTGGCACGCGGCGTCGCGGAGGGCCCGCGCGCCGCGCCCCATCTCCTTGAACTTCTCGCTGGGCAAGAAGCCGGGCTTCTCGGGGTCCCCGCAGTGGAGGCGAGCCCCGCAGCCCGCGCACTGCGTGTCGCTCGCGGCCTCGCTCGCGTCCGTCGTGCCCACCACCTTGTGCTCGCCGAGCTTCCTGGGCCTTTTCTTCGACGGCAGCGCGGGCAACGGGAAGTCCACGTCCGTCACCACAGGATCCGGGACCTGCTGATGCCGCTGCTGCTGCTGCCGGGTGTCGCGGCCCTCGCTCGCGGCCTCCGCCAGCTTGAGCTGCTTCCGCAGGGCCCTGCGCAGCAACTCGCCCTCCGTGGGGTTCTTCCTCGAGGCGGCATCCCTCGCCTGCTCCCGGTCGCGCCGCACATACTCGGCCGTCAGCTCGGCGATCAGGGCCTCCGGGTCCAAGGAGTGCGGCTTCTCGAACGACTCCTGCGAGAATTCGTCAATCACGGGCGTGAGGGTTTGGCCGCTGCGGAGGCTCCGCGCCCGCCGTCGCGCCGCCGCCGCCGTCGGTCTTCCTGTCGCCGAAGCAACCGTGGCCTCATCCTCTTGCGCCGTCGCTCCGGGCGTCGCGGTCTGCCTGGCCCCTGCGCTACAATAACCTCGCCCGGGGCAGCCCAAGCCGTTGCTCCAACCGCGGGGTTCACAGAGGCCGGGTCTCAGGGTCGGCCTACCGGCGGCTCCGAGAGGCCGCGACGCCTGACGGCCCAGCCGAGCGAGGCGGCAGGAGCCGCGCAACATGGCCTCGGGACAGCAATTAACCTCTGGCTGTGCCCCAGATATATATTTGCTGCAACACTGTTGTTTTTAGTTCCCTGGCGCAAACATTGGTTGGTTGACTCCCGGGTAGACAACTCTGGTCAACTGACTCACCGATTAACTGACGCCACGGTTAACTAAATCAGCGGTTTCAATAACTCCCGGGTCTGTGGTCTGTCCTGCCAGCCTCGGCCCCGACGACGCGTGCGCCAGGGACGCACGCCGGGTTCAAACAAACACGCGAGCACGTGCTCGCGTCAAAGTTGTCTCTGCTCGAGCGAGGCACACCGAGCGGCCATCTTACGTAGGGGAAACCCCTCCAACTCCGCCCCCCTCCAACTCCCCCCCCCCTCCAACTCCCCCCCCCCCTCCAACTCCCCCCCCCCTCCAACTGGTCACAACGTCATCAGCAGCGGCCAGTGCCACCGTGGGCCAGTTACAAATGACCCCCCCCACACACACTCAATATGGCCGAATTCGCCGCCAATTCTAAATGACGCGTGGACCCCCCCCCCCTCACGCGTCCCCGACCGCTCCGGTGACGTCACGCAACAACTTCCGGTCGTGGCGGCCTATATAAAAGTGGCCGCCCGTCGTCATCGGCCGCTGCACGGCGCCGGAGGTGGAAGGCGCCGCCGTTGTTGTAAAGAAAGCAAATTTGTGATAAAAAGAATCCACCGACATCCTGGCACAGATCGCGCTCCAATTAAGCGCGACGTTATCCTCGCACGCGTAGGGCACGCTACTACGCCAATATGTACGACCCCGACGAGGGTGAGTTGACGATTTTGGTGGCTTTTTAACGCCTTTAAAGAGTCGAGGCCTGTTAGCGGCAAACCCGGCTGCTGACGCTTAACTAGAGGCAACCCCACAACTCCTTGTACTTGACCGTAATACTAACGTGTTGTTGGCTGTCATTACAATGTTAGTGCAAGTGTTGGTATTGTTACAAAGTACAAATTAAAGTGATGTGTAAACTTAATGTCTTGAATAATAATGAGGTACTGTGCAGCGCTTTTGTCACTCCACTGCTGGATGAAGGTTCTTCCCCCCCCAGCCCGTGCCAGGACGATTCTGATATCACGCGCCCACTGATGCTTATAGCCTTGGCCGGGAATCGAACTGCTTGTCGGGTTCATACAGCCGTGTGCTAACCACTGAGCCACCGCTCCCTCTACCCCCACCTCTCCGACGTCTGCTGCTGATTGTGTGTGTGTTATAAAATACCGTAGCGAGTTTTGCGATTGTGACCGCACAGGGGATGATGAGATGCGTATTATTATTAATCGTGGCTTTGCAGCTCTCAATTCTTCATTGTGTTCTCAAAATTAAATGCATAGCAGGTGTTATCGGCTTACTACAGTGCTACGTTTTGGCAGTGAGGATCCTCATGTAAAATAGCTTGTGGTTGAGTTTCATACCCTGCGTCGACGAACAATTAAATTGCAGCGAATTAAATCTGACTGCGATCCAAATTTTACGCTCCCCTCTCTGCCTTCAACCCGCACTAACCAGCATGGTGAAGTGTGGTCAGATAACCCCCCACGAACTGCATGGAATGGGGAGACCTCAACCCCTTATCCAGCAAGTGGACTGACAAACACGTTGTACATCCTTATGCAGTCTATATCAATGCAGTCTATAAATGCACGTCCATACACTGCAACCCTTAAACAGATGTGCAGTACGACGAAGATGACGACGAGAATGAGATCACACCGGACTTGTGGCAAGAGGCGTGCTGGATCGTCATCAGGTAAAATGAGCCAGTTTGGCCTGTGGTCCCATCTGCAGCACTTAAGGTCTGCAGCCATCTGCTCCATGTACAGTATTTGATTCTAAGCTTTAATTACCATAACCCTTTCCCATTCCGATGACGTGTACGTCATTGGAACGGAATCGGAAGTAAAAAAGCCATGTGGGAGGGCGGGTGGCACAGTTTGCCGCCAGCTATCAGTGTCGCAACAGTTATCTGTGGGTGAGAACAATGTCTTTAAAGACAGGGTGCTATGCCTCTCTAAATCTAATTAATGCCAACCACTTGCACGTTCCGAGATTTAGCGGTGAACGGGACACATCCTGTGACTTGTAGACGTCTCGAAAAGGGTTTGGGTAAACAGGAAAGTGTACCCTCAGGCCATGCATGCTTTCTCTATGCCCGACCCACTTACTCTTTCGGCCCCATCACTTCTTGATTAGGCCATCGTATTCTTCAATCTTTGCGCCGTTCCTTTTCACGCCCTGCTCCTTCTTATTTAGGCTACGCCTTGAGTGAGCCACTCAAGCGCTGTCTTCCGGACTGTCCTGTTTCTTCACCTGAGGAAAGCTACTTGTGTTGTGGCCGAAACGTCGTGAGAATTTTATTCTGTTATTTTTATTATTTTATAGCCATTCTACGTGACTTTACCGAAAGAACCCAGAAAATGAATCCCTGCAGTTACGAAAGCTTTAAATCGAAAAATGATAAACTCGTTGGAGGTTTCTCACCTCCCACACCGTCTCGCCTCCTGATCCCCAGCTCGTACTTTGATGAGAAGGGGCTGGTGCGGCAGCAGCTGGACTCCTTCGATGAATTCATCCAGATGTCGGTGCAGCGGATCGTGGAGGACGCCCCGCCAATCGACCTGCAGGCTGAGGCTCAGCACGCCACCGGGGTGGTAGAGGTTCCGGTACGTGGACCCTGCTCAAATCTCACCTCAGTTCTTATTTATTCCCCCCATTATCCACCCCTACGGCCCAGAGGAGAATAAGTGACTATCCAATGACCGAAGAGTAGACTGGGGACTTTAATAGAAAGCCCTGGTTGTTGAAGCGGGTAGATTGAGAGGAGAGCAAACAGGATGAGAGAAGAGAGATGTATGCAGGGTTGAGCCCGTGAAGGATCTTTGCGATGATGAGTGATCTTGAATTGGTCTGGCATTCGATTTGGGAGACGGTTGAAGGGTTTGGAGTTTTGGAGTGATGTGGTCTCATTATCCGTGCTGGTCAGAAGTCTTATCTTTATTAAGTCATAAATGTCATGGCAGGGCGTGCACGCGAGTAATTTTTTGGAGGTATCTGTGTGGCGTGCGGAAATACAGGGAGTCATTGCCTTTATATCGTATGGTGCTGTGTGGTATGTGTGTGTACTTCCCAAAGTGGCCTCAAAGTGCACTTTGCATGTGTAGTGAGTTCAACCGAGTCGCAGACGTACTCTTGGAGACAACACATTTAACACCAACACACGGGGTGACTGCCCCTTTACAGAATAACAACCTATGGTTGTGACCACCAGACTAACTACACTAATTACAATGTAAGTATTTACTATGGACCGGACCACAGCTCTGGTCCAGGTCCACGTATTGGGGACTCGGTAGAACGTAGACGTAGACAAAGGTTTCTTCAGGATGAACAACAACGCCGGTCCCTCTGGGGGACCCGGCTTATATTCTCTGCGGCGTGGCCGGCTCCGCCCTTGGCCATGACCACCTTCCAGAATCCTCGAGCAGGATCTGGACCCCGACCACTTGACCACCCCGAGCCCTTTGTAGACTTAACCGGTCACGTGTCCTCTCTGGTCAACCAGAGTGCCACGGCCTTTAGTAACCTCATTCCTACGGCCGGCACTCACACACCCTGTCCTGTAGGTTCTGGCACTGCATGCCAAGCGTGGTGCCATCCAGCGCTATCAATCAGCACTCACCGGGCCCCTCTAGGGCCGGTACTACACTCACACCACTGTGGTATCCGCGATGTCGTTACACCGCACGCCGTGCCTCTCTAGGGCCGACACTACACAGTGACATCCCGTGATGTCACTACACATGGACTAAGTACTGTGGTAACATCCCTGCCACTTAGTGGCAAGCAGTAGCAGTTAAACGTCTGTTGTATTGGTATTGATGCCGTTGTTTTGCATGCACGCACAGAGGGTTGCGTGGTAATTGCCAATGGTGAATGGTAACGTGGTCGCATTCTCCTTCAGCCGCGGTACATGCTCAAGTTCGAGCAGATCTACCTGTCGAAGCCCACACATTGGGAGAGAGACGGAGCGCCATCACCCATGATGCCCAACGAGGCCAGGCTCCGCAACCTCACGTAAGCTCCGTAAAACAATAGCAAATATCGGGGACTGAAAACACCTCATTGGTCGTCATTACTATGCACGGAACAAAACGCCATCTTGTATACCGAATAATAGTTGCAAGGTGAAGCTTGAATTCACATTGAATGGCGGCACTGAGATGGCACCGCTGAGAATGGTGGGTGCCGATCAAGGAAAACGACTGATTATACCGGGTTCTCAAGTGCGACGAGTTTATAGTCTCAGCCCAGTCAAAAGTCACTGCGCAAAAATACCAATGAATTACATTTGGTTCTGTACGTATTTAACTTGTTTATGGCTCTTGACAACTTACAGATTATCAGCTTGTCATGCTTCTAACATGACTCTGTAACAAGGTGTGTGGCAAAGTGCATCCCCCCCCTACTACTATGTTGCACAGAGATCACTTGAAAGGATCTCAGAGATAGCTTTCTTATCCAACTCCTTTAGCTGGTACTCAGAACACGAAGGGTCACGCTGCTCAGCGAGATATTACAAGGAACGCTCCATCTCATGACATGGCTTGTGTGCTCGGTATAAAATTTTTTATTAATTACCATAGTATAACAGTCGCCACGCAGCTCACGTTGACGATGAACCGACTTTCCGCGCAGTTACTCGGCCCCGCTGTACGTGGACATCACAAAGACGGTGATCCGGGAAGGGGATGACCCCATCGAGACGCAGCACCAGAAGACATTCATCGGCAAGATCCCCATCATGCTGCGCTCCACATACTGCCTGCTGAGCGGCCTCACCGACAGAGATCTCTGCGAGCTCAATGAGTGCCCCCTCGACCCCGGAGGGTATTTCATCATCAACGGCTCCGAGAAGGTGCGCAACTGGGCAGACTAAACCTCTTGGGGGGGGGGGGGGGGGGAGGGGTGAAGGGTACGAGACGATAAAAACACAACTGTAATAAAAAATATTCTAGGCGAACCTATGACTCCTCATCGTTGCCATGATTTATTGATAAATCTGTGCCTCCTTTGTAGTACGTCTCGAGGCGCTAGAACAAATCGGTGTATGAGATTATCTCATGGGGGAACCATCACTCGGTAAGGAAGTGACTGCAGACTAAATATAATGTGGAATAACAGTACAGGATAGGCAATATACATGGACGCGCAAGAATAAACGAGTGCGTGACGATTCACTAAACCAAAGCAGACGTTTCTGCGCACGTTTTCTTTTTCTGGTCATGGTGGTTGTTCGCCAATTTGACGAACTCTGAAGAAAAACCACCACCGTCTAAAAGACTGCCCTGACATTTTTTAAAATTATTGCACCCAGGTGCTCATCGCACAAGAGAAGATGGCCACCAACACGGTGTACGTGTTCGCCAAGAAGGACTCCAAGTATGCGTACACGGCGGAGTGCCGCTCGTGTCTGGAAAACTCGTCCCGGCCCACCAGCACCATCTGGGTCAGCATGCTCGCCAGGGGAGGACAGGTTAGTGCGCTTTGCTCATGGTACAAATGCATGCACTTGCTCAGCAGCACTGGTGGCAGAAGTTGATGGCGAGGACACGCAACGGCATTTGCCGCGTGTATACAGGTGTTATGCCGTCACACAGCACCGTTTCGTCCACACGCCCGTACGTGTGACCGACTATCCTGTGGCATGTTTCCAGGTCTCTCATCTCTTTGTTTATTTCGTTTCCAACTCCTGACCTCAGGCGAACGAAGACAGTCGTTGTAAATTGCCAGTTTGTCTTGTTTTGTTTTTTTATCCATGTTTTTCTTCCAGTTGCTTATCGTAGACTCTGCTTAGCACTCGTTCGTTTGTTGATGATACGCTGGGCCGTTGTGGCGTATTCCATGCAGGGTGTGCGGAAGAGCGCGATTGGGCAGCGCATCGTGGCCACGTTGCCGTACATCCGCCAGGAGGTGCCGATCATCATCGTGTTTCGCGCGCTGGGCTTCGTGTCCGACCGCGACATCCTCGAGCACATCATCTACGACTTTGACGACCCCGAGATGATGGAAATGGTACAGTTTCTCCCCACGCCCTCCCCCCCCTCCCTGAGCTGCTGACCGACGGCGATGGTGGTAGCCCCATTGGTCAGTGTGATTTACAAAGTGGCATTTGTGGCGGATATGTTAAAACATCCTCAAGGAAAAAGCAACTAAAAAAAGGATTTTGATTTAAAGCTTTCGTGATTGCAGGGATTCATATTCTTGGTTCTTTCGGTAAAGTCACGTAGAAGGAAAACAATACAATAATACAAATATGAAACAATAAAATTCTCACGACGTTTCGACTGCAACACAAGCAATCATCATCAGGTGTGAAAACCACAACAAAAAAATTTGAAAAAGTGGCGGTTTTTTAACGTTAGCAAACATGGATAGCGATTTAACAGTTTGTTCAGATGGACGAGTCCATCTATGTTCGGAAAAGAGGAGGGGGGAGACGAAATGGTTTATCAAATCCTTCCAATGATTGCTAAGCCAGAATCCATCTTCTCAGTTGAAATTGTCTCTGTGTTTGTATATGTGGATAGCCTCATGAACGAATCTCTCATGGTAGCTAGATGGCTTGCAAAGAACCTCTCCTCTTTTCCGAACATAGATGCACTCGTCCATCTGAACAAACTGTCAAATCGCTATCTGTGGTGCTAATGTTAAAAAACCGCCACTTTTTTCAAATTTTCTTGTTGTGGTTTTCACACCTGATGGTGATTGCTTGTGTTGCAGTCGAAACGTCGTGAGAATTGTATTGCTTTATATTTTTATTATTTTATTGTTTCCCTTCTACGTGACTTTACCGAAAGAACCAAGAATATGAAAAAAGGATGTAAAATCAATCGGACAAGCTCCTGTGGCATCACAACAGTGGCGTATTAACGAGTTCTGCAGTGATGTCACAGAGATGTAACGGGGACACTGACGGAGTACCTAAATGTATGTTAAAAGCCCTTTTTTTTCTTTCTTTTCATTAAGCGTGAATGCATGTTGGACAAACAGTAGCCTATGTTTGTAACTGCAAGAAAAGATCAGTCTATTTTCTAAGGTGCAGCTGTTGTACCTCCACACTAGCTTCGAGCATGGGAGAGTCGGCTCAATGTCACGTCAACACATTTCATTGCAACTTCAAAGCAGTGATGTCACAAATACTATGAACGAGAACCAACCATGTTTCTAAAACACTTTCTCTCATGAATAATGCTTCAAACTCATTCTGCACAGCCGAAGACGCATATAGCAGCCTTGGTAAATATTATCTTCAAGATTGGAAGAATTAAGTCTTTCGGTTACATCTTATCTTATTCGCTCCCATGTGCAGGTGAAACCGTCTCTGGACGAAGCCTTCGTCATCCAGGAGCAGAATGTGGCGCTCAACTTCATCGGCTCTCGTGGTGCGAAGCCTGGCGTCACCAAGGAGAAGCGAATCAAGTACGCCAAGGAGATCCTGCAGAAGGAGGTGTTGCCCCACGTGGGTGTCAGCGACTTCTGCGAAACCAAGAAGGCGTACTTCCTCGGGTGAGCGTTTGTCTACCAGGCGATGTGTAGATACAACGGACAAAAAAAATACGACAATGCTTCGTTGCTTTGTGCCTTTTGCACTGACTCGAGCTCCTCTTCTCTTGATTTAGCATTCTCCCCAGCTGATGAAAATTATATTTTGTGTGCTGTGCATCGTAGGAAAAACACTACCCTTTGCTCGCTTGTTGGATGATATAATGATTTCAATTTACTTCAACCTGATCCCAGCTGCCAGCTTTAAAAATTTGAGCATGGCTTGTTCGTATTTAAATGTTCAAAAGCTGGGTGTTAATGTGTGCTGCCCCCACGCTATGTTGGCGCCTGTGCGTGCATCTAGGTACATGGTCCACAGGCTGCTACTTGCCGCGCTGGGTCGCCGGGAGGTGGACGATCGAGATCACTATGGCAACAAGAGGCTGGACCTGGCTGGGCCCCTGTTGGCGTTCCTGTTCCGGGGGTACGTATAATCCTCGTCGTCAACCTCGCCATGATCGCCATTGCCACCATGATCACCATCATCGATTTATTTTTTTAAAGGGCATCGTTGTCACTCTGTCTCCTTAAATTTCAAAATAACGCATAATTACTGCAGGTCGCTTTTGTTGCAGGATGTTTAAAAACTTGCTGAAGGAGGTGCGCATGTACGCACAGAAGTTCATCGACCGGGGAAAGGACTTCAACTTGGAGCTGGCAATCAAGACGCGCATTGTGACCGACGGACTCAAATACTCGCTCGCCACCGGCAACTGGGGCGACCAGAAGAAGGCCCACCAGGCTCGCGCCGGCGTGTCTCAGGTAAAGCACCACCACCTTGTTATCATGATCATGTTTAGTGTCAACCCATACGTTAATTTTGTAATGACCACCTTGATCATCGTTGTCTATTGCCAGAAACGTAATTGGCATCATGATCATCTTCATCGCTATGTTTGTTGTCACCATCCTCGTCATTGTCTTTGTAAAACTCAATCCGCGCCTCCAATTAGAACGGTTGTTTATGTTCGGTGTGAAAAAAATTCAACATACAACACAGGCTAAAATGCAAACCCTCCAAAGGTAAGTTTGCATGATGTATTTTGTTGATAAACGAGTAATATGGTTAACAAGAGAAAGCGTTTTGATTTAAAGCTTTCGTGACTGCAGTAATTCATATACTTAGTTCTTTTGGTAAAGTCACGTTGAAGGGAAGCAATAAAATAATAAAATATATATAAAACAATAAAAATTCTCACGACGTTTCGACCATAACACAAACGGTCGTCATCAGGTGTGTCGACCGTTTGTGTTATGGTCGAAACGTCATGAGAATTTTTATTGTTTTATATATATTTTATTATTTTATTGCTTCCCTTCAACGTGACTTTACCGAAAGAACTAAGAATATGAATAAGAGAAAGCGTGTTGGTTCAAACCACCGAAATCTATTTTATTTCATCATTTAGTTAATCCAGTTCTGAATAAAGGTCTTCTATACACCTTGTAGGTTATGGGGGCTGTTTTGACCACACATCATCACTGGTCAGTGGGATTGAGTCATCCTTGGAGAGGATCAGTTCAAATATATCACAGCACTGTTGTTAGCTGTGTCCGGGAATCAAATCTAGGTCACCAGGTTCATAGCACAGTATGCAAAATCAATTACATTAGAGATAATGTACTAAAGAAATGTCAACAATTAGTTTGGACAATGCGTTTTGAAACAGCAGAGCTGTGAGACTAAAACTTTCTGGTGATTGTCAGGTGTTGAACCGCTTGACGTTCGCATCCACCCTGTCCCATCTGCGGCGGCTGAACTCCCCCATCGGCCGTGATGGGAAACTCGCCAAGCCGCGTCAGCTGCACAACACACTGTGGGGCATGGTGTGCCCCGCTGAGACCCCAGAGGTATGCACAAACTTGCACAACAATAACAACGGCCGCTGTTCACCCGCTACGTGACAGTGATGCCACCACTGCGCTCGTGCCTGGCCCATATGCACTTTGAGGACGTCGCAGGACAGACCCCCAGGTGTTATATGTTGACTGACTCAGGTGACTGCAAATGCGCACCACCCATGCTTCCCACTGTGCCACCTTTTGCTGTGGTAGGGCCGCCCAATTATCCGCTCGTCGTGTGCGATGCTCAGGTGGAAACACACACACCGATAAAAGCGCAATGCGTGCGCAGGTTTGCTTTGAATTTTGTTTGCATCATGCAGGTTTTTTTCAAGTTAGATTTAAAACCCACTATCGACGCTTCCATTTTATTTTAAAGATTTCTTATCTGTTTATTGGAAGGATGTTTTGATTGTGTGACGTTGTGGTGTGCCTATAGTAATATTAAAATCAGAATATTGTACTGCTGAGATCCTGGGTTCGAATGCAGGCAGTTGCTTGTGATTAGAATGGGTTCTCAAGTGTGGCGAGTTGGCAGTCTCAGTCCCGGCATCATTGACCGTACATCAAAAAACGGATTAAATTCGATTAACTTCATTTGGGATAAATTCCAGCTTTTTTAATTAAAAATAACGGTTTTACTGTCAATTGACGAACGATGCTGTTTTCAATAGTAGGGCGGATGGGAAAGTGTTTACCCCTCCTGTATGGATCAGAAATCACTCACCAATAGTTCTGTGATGTCTGCATCCGTGGGCTGTTCTCCGACGAGAGAGATCCACATGGTTCTTCGTTTCATAACATGACAACGAAAGTACATTTAGGATAACATTGTGGGTCGGATATTGTTTACGATCGGTTCGGAAAGAGGGGGGGGGGGATGAGACGACCGGAGTTTGGCGCTGATGTGAGAGCTGTGTTTTTCGTCTTTGTCAGGGCCACGCCGTGGGGCTGGTGAAGAACCTAGCACTCATGGCGTACATCTCGGTGGGCTCGCAGCCCTCGCCCATCCTCGAGTTCTTGGAGGAGTGGAGCATGGAGAACCTGGAGGAGATTTCACCCGCCGCCATCGCCGAGTACGCACACTCGTCACGCGTTGGCGCGTCTGCTCCTTCACCCGCTCGCACCTGCTCGCACACCTAATCAAGCATCCACTTATTGGCAGAACCACTCACAGGCTCACCATCTCAACCACCTTTCAGCCACCCCCTCGCTCACCTGCATTATCAGACTCGCTAACGTGCTTGTTCACGTACCCATTCGCCCGTCCGCTTGCCTTATCACTTGTTCGCTTTATCCACGCACTCGCCTACTCACGCATTGGCTTATCCGCCCAACCACTCACAGGCTCACGAACTCGCTCATCCACCTGTTAACCAGCTACTCGCCAGCTTGCCCACTCTATCACTCACCTTTAGTTTAGTTTTAGTTTATTTATTTTGGTATAGCCCTGTGTGCCATTCGGCTCTTGTCTTATCACCCACTCATTCGCCAGTGTGCGTACATTAATTTACCAGGTTGAACGAAGCCTCATTATGGATTGAGTTGTACTCTTTGGTTCTATTCGGTAAAGTCACGTAGATAAATAATAAAACAACAATAATCACGACGTTTCGGCCACAACACAAGCGGCCTTCATCAGGTGAAGGGACGAGCCTGTCTGGAGGACAGCGCTGGAGTGGAAGAAGCCACGCTTAGATCACGATACTTTAGACAGGACTCTCCTACAAGCTCATTTAATGTTAACACAAAAAATGTCACCTTTTGATTGGAATCACGTAGACAACATGACTGCTTCTTCTGCTGAGTCACTGTCAGTCAAATGTAAAGCTAACCTGATTTCTAAATTCAACCACCTATCAAAGAAGAACCCAGTTCCACATATAACAAAACTAGATGTTAACAAAATCGTCATTAATCAGAGTAGCACCCCGATTTCGGACAATCTGAAAACAGTACTGGCTAGGGGACTAAATTTTGCTGTCACCCCAAAACACATACCAATAGATGATATCATCTCTCAGGTTGATGTAGCCCTCAAAGGCGTAGGACACATCCAAGCAGACGTTGCGAGAGCTGAAATAGCCACTATTCTTAAGAATGCTAAGAAACCCATTAGTAACATCAGCAAAAATGAACGCTCTGAACTCGCGAATTTAAAAAACAGAAGTGATATAGTCATCCTCTCAGCCGATAAAGGAAACGCTACTGTTATTATGGATAAAGATTCATACAACAACAAAATCCAGAATCTGCTCAACGACGGAAGTTACTCAAAAATAAAAAATGACCCCACTAATAGCCTAGCGATAAAAACCAACAAGATCATCACAAGTTCGACCTCCCTAATCGACCCAACTAAACGTCCCTCCCTAAAACCTTCTGCTGCAAGACCCCCTAGATTCTATGGTCTTCCCAAGATTCATAAAGAAGGCACCCCACTACGACCCATCGTATCCACGATCAACTCCCCTACCTATAGACTAGCCCGTTTTCTGTCAGATACCTTGCTGCCTTTCACTGGCAAGACCACCTCAGCAGTACTTAACTCAGCCCAATTGGTCTCTATGGTCAAAGACGTTGTACTGTCCCCTGACGATATCCTTGTCAGCTTCGATGTGGTCTCTTTGTTCACCAAGGTCCCAGTACCTGATACCATTGAAATAATTGAAAATTTGGTCCAACATGGACTAGACCCCGACACACCTGCACTGGTTAGGCACTGCCTCAACAATACCTACTTTACTTGGAATGGCTCCTTCTACAAGCAAAATGAGGGTACCCCCATGGGTTCCCCCTTGTCACCAGTGATAGCCAATATTTTCTTGGAGAAATTTGAATCAGACGCCATCCAGACTTCCACCCTCAGACCTTCCCTGTGAAAGAGATGTGGATGACACTTTCGTCATTTGGCCACATGGCCTCCCAGCTCTGAACCTTTTCCTACACCACATCAATTCCAGACATCCCGCCATCAAATTCACCATGGAAGTGGAGAAAGATGGAAAGCTACCATTCTTAGACGTTCTGTTTGAGAGGAGACCTGATGGTTCATTGGGGCATTCTGTCTACAGGAAACCCACCCACACAGATCCCTACTTGAAACCTGATTCCCACCACCACCCAGCCCAAAAGAATTATCTCATCAAAACTTTATACCATAGGGCTCATTGCATTTCGGACCAACACCACCTGACCAGTGAATTAAAACATGTACACCGGGCCCTCAAAAGGAATGGTTACTCTGACCGTACCATCCGCCAAGCTGTCTCTCCTTCCATACAGAAACAACCACTTGATACTCCGGTCAAAACCATCACACTTCCATATATAGCAGGCGTTACTAAAAAGATTTCCAAAATTCTAAACAAACACAAGATCCAGGTCCGGTTCAATACAGTACACAAAATTCGTGATCTGATCCCATCTGTGAAGGATGCCATTCCTGATTTACAGTACCCCGGGGTTTACAAATTGAGTTGTACCTGCGGTTATTGCTACATCGGTGAGACAAAGCGACATGTCTCTGACCGAATTCGCGAGCACAAATCAGATTTGAAACACGGCAAAACGAATTCTTCTGCCGTAGCTGATCACTGTTACAATGCTGTGGGGGATCACGATATAATTTTTTCCGATACCAAGGTTCTTTGCAAACCCACGGGCTTTTATCAGAGATTTGTTCATGAAGCAATTCAGATCTACAAACACAGACACAATTTCAACCGAGAGGATGGTTTCAAATTAAGCAACCATTGGAAAGATGTTCTAAATCGAACTAAACATTAAACTAATTTCAATGGTACAGTATATTTTTCGAGTAGTGGTACCCCAAACTTTCGCAGCTCTTATAAATTCCCATTTTCACACCATCAATGGGTAAAATCCCCCTCCCCCCTTTCCCCCCTCCCCTCGCCAAACTGCAAGTCCACCGGCACGTACACCACCTCTCTGCTCGCACACAGGTCCGATGTCTGAGCGTGGTTGTGTTTCGCTAAATTCTCCTGTTTGATGAGTACTAGGTGCCTCGGTGAATGTATATACTCTGACTTTAACATAGCTATTTCTGTGACCAGTTACTAGCTAATCACTAAACTATTTAAATGCTAAATCCTATGCTAATTTCCTTTGTCAAGGGGCACCTCTGCGGATGTGTATACTTTAACTTAGCTATTTCAATGAGCCATTTCAATGCTAATTTATATGCTAATTCCTTTGTCAAAGCCCGTGGTCTTCTTATTCTTCCTCTCACACAGCTTAAATGTCGTGATCTAAGCGTGGCTTCTTCCACTCCAGCGCTGTCCTCCAGACAGGCTCGTCCCTTCACCTGATGAAGGCCGCTTGTGTTGTGGCCGAAACGTCGTGATTATTGTTGTTTTATTATTTACCTACGTGACTTTACCGAATAGAACCAAAGAGTATGGATCCTTGCAGTCACGAAAGCTTTAAATCTAGGATTGAGTTGTGTTGCATTTGTACCTAGTGGGGGCAGCAGAGGCCAGTGAAGCTGGTAATAATTAAACTGTTACGGTCTAAACCTTACAATAAAAATACTACATCTGGTAAATGCTCAGAAATTTAAACGCTTACTGTGATATACAACAGCAGTCATACTTTTAAGTTCGTGACTTGAGCCTATGAGCAAATCGCCCAGAATGCACCCCATCTTTTTAGATCTAAGCATGGTTGAGCCTGGATGGTGCTTGGATCAGGGGTGGACTGCCATCCATAAAAACGCTTATTATAGGTTGCAGTGGGGCTATGTTCTGCTTGGTGAATAATGGTCAAATAACCTCTGACCTGCACAAGGTGTGATGCCTTCATCCAGCAGTGGATTGACAAAAAAGGCAATGTGCATGGTGCAAATATACTTAAAAAGGTATGTGGCTGTTTCCTGTCCGTTGTCGCTGATTTCATGCCCCGTGCCTCTCAGTGCCACGAAGATCTTTGTGAACGGCTGTTGGGTGGGAATTCACAAGGATCCCGAGCAGTTGATGAACACCCTGAGGAAGCTGAGACGTCAGATGGACATCATCGTGTCTGAGGTCGGCCTCGTAACTTATAACCCTCTTGCTCCGTCACACCGTGCCGTTTTTAACGCTTTTACATCAACACAGCGTGCATGCATCGAGGGCCCTTTCTGCGGTAACCTCTGCAAAGTGCTGAATATCAAAAACCCGCCTCGTCCAGATGAAAGATTAATATTACATTAGTAAAATTACATTTTGTGGCCAAGTGGCTCAGAGGTCAGAGCGCTGAGCTGGCACTGCAGAGATTCTTGATTCAATTGCAGGCAGCCTGTGGTTAAGCTGCATTCTCAAGTGTGGCGAATTGATGGTATCAGCGCAATTGCTAATGAGTGCATAAAAGAGCCACAGCTTTGAATTTGGTTCTGCACTTAAGTTAACAAAATTCCATCTCTGAGTGTGTGTGTATATATGTGCCGCGTGTGTGTGGACATGTATGTGCGTGTGCTCGTGTATAATACACGTGTATGTACTGTAGGTGGTGTGGAGCGGTAGTGGTTGGTGAACTGCACGATGAACCCAGCGACCCGAGTTCGATTCCAGCTCATGACCAATATCTGTGGCAATTATTTTATCGAGTCCTGGGCCTCTCTTCGGTCAACTCTCAGCACCGGGGAGACAAAGGCGGCCGGTTGTAGTTTTGTGCCTTCCATAGGTGCTTGCTAGCAGCACTTGCCCCAACAGTCTATTAAAGGCTCTACGGGCGATGTTTGTCTTTTTAGGTGTCCATGGTGCGCGACATCCGCGAGCGGGAGATCCGCATTTACACGGACGCTGGGCGGATCTGCCGACCCCTGCTCATTGTCGAGAAGCAGAAGTTGCTGCTCAAGAAGAGGCACATTGATCAACTGAAGGACCGCGAGTACAACAACTACACGTGCGTATATTACGATTCCTATTATTATTTTACCAGGAAAAGGCCCACTGGGCTTATATAGCTCTTTTTTAAAAAGCCACCTGGCCGCGATTGATATCTCAATGAAGTGCATTATCACGTGGGCATTTATCGCAGCCAAATACTCCAATTGCCTATGTATAAACAAACACATCAACAAAAATCCCCCAGGTATCCTTAAATGGGAATGTTGGCGCAAGTGCTGTTAGTAGTTCTCGCCTAATGAACGCCATTTTGGCGCACGAGGGGGCGGTGTGGCCAGCACCCACTTGCCTTCGTCTCTCCACTCCGCCACTGGTTCACCCAAAACATATTCATATTCAAGCTGTATAATAAGCATACTAAACTGTATAATAAACAGCAGCCCTCTGGACAATAGTTTACCAGGAGCATGTGTTTAAATCCGGGCACATTTGAACCGGTTTCATCTTTGTGAATCACATGAGCAGGGTGTGGCCTCATAGTTTCGGTCCGATTTCTTCATTTATTGTATTCAAGCGGGTCACAAAATAACGCTGACGTGTGTTGGCAGGCCATGTGATGCTTTGACATCACTTGGCATAGTGATTTTGTAACTTCTGTACATGTGACCACTAATCTGTACCTCTTGTCTTCATGGCTCTCATTTTTCTCTTGTTTATTTTATTCTCATCTCGAGAACCTTAATCTCTTCCCTATAGCGCTCTCATCTCTATCTTTAATTTATCTCTTCATCTCATCAATCTATCTCCTTGTCTTGGTGTGACATCTCACTCAGCAGGCCACTCAAGAAGAGCCTTTGGCCCATTGGCCACGAGTTGAAAAGCCCTGAGTTATGCAACGCTTTCAAAGAAAGCCGTTGGGCCCTTCGATGTCTCGTAGGCCAGTGGCACATCGTATTCCACTCAACGCATTAACAATTCCGCTCGCTCTGTCCAGGTGGCAGGACCTGGTGGCGAGCGGTGTGGTGGAGTACATCGACACGCTGGAGGAGGAGACCGTCATGCTCGCCATGACCCCCGATGACCTGCAGGAGAAGGGCGTGGCCTACTGCTCCACGTACACCCACTGCGAGATCCACCCCTCCATGATCCTGGGCGTGTGCGCCTCCATCATCCCATTCCCCGACCACAACCAGGTGAGGAGGCCACGTCATTGGGCACGTTTCTGTTCGAGGACCCTGCACCGCCCGATGTAGCCACAAGGCTGAAATTGTCGAGGCTAGAGGAGTTTTAAACATGCCAATAACATCACCGGTAAGTTGGAGAAGAATTCTCACAACCAAATCTAACATTTAGAGAAATACATTTCGCTTGAAACTACATAAGGTATATTCAGGAACATCCACATATTCAAAATAAAATCTGTATCTCTTGGTGAGCTATAGCTTGATGGGTCATTACAAAATCCTCAGAGCCACACTTTGAAGACCCAACCCTGCTGTGTGCGTGCTGCTGTATAGGAGTGCATGCGCTCAGGATTCGCCACCGTGATGTGCCAGCACTGACGATGTCCGTGTTCACCGTGCATCGTGTGTCGCCCATCAGTCTCCCCGAAACACGTACCAGTCGGCCATGGGCAAGCAGGCGATGGGCGTGTACATCACCAACTTCCATGTGCGAATGGACACGCTGGCCCACGTGCTCTACTACCCACAGAAGCCGCTCGTCACCACGCGCTCCATGGAGTACCTACGATTCAGGGAGCTGCCTGCGGGTAACCTCCCCTGCCACAACCCCCTTTCTGGCACCCCCCCCCCCCCCACAGTATCTGCCACCTCCCTCACCGTTCCCCTGGCCAAAACTGTAAGGTTCTTAATCTGAAAGCAATCAAATGTTTGAAAGGCTCAACACATGGTGAGCTGGCAGCCCCCCCACCCGGCTCTCTATCAGCCCTGCCCACTCAAATCACAGTCTATGACCTAGACGTTGTCCCTGCCCACTGCTCATGGATCCCATTTACTCCTTTGCCAACCCTGCCCACGACTAAAGTTAACCCTGCTCCTTTGCCCTTGTCATGAGTCGAGAAAGATTGGAGCTGGCACAAAATCGCCATTTTTTGTTGTTGTTGCAAATCCCTCAGGACGCCGGGACAGTCTTTCTAAACGCGTGGCTGTCCAAGCCAAATCCAGACATGTGGTAGGCTTACCTAATCCTAACCCTGACTTGGGTGCCCCGACTTCCTCTCGGCTTCCCAGCCTTTCCTGTGTCCCCTTGCCCGCACGCTGTTACTCTGGGTTGCGTGGCTATGTTGGAAGAATTGTATTTTCTGTGCGCGCGATGCGGAAGAGGCGACCTGTGGGCCCCCCCCCCCCATGTCTGGTGATCACACTGCCCCACAGAGGGAACGCCCTGAGAAACATTTTGCCTACTCTTCGATGGAAGAGGGGTAGGTACCTGCTGTGTATCCCATAGCTGGCTTAAAGGAAGATGCTAACCAAAAATAAAACTTTGCTCTCGCAGACAAGCACATGGGCTGTGTGGTTTGGGTTGTCAATATTAAGTTTGAAGTTTTGGTAGCGAGAAGAATTAAAAAAAATAATAGTATGGTGCAACGACAGATGTTTCTGTTGTGCATGAAGTCGTTTTTTATTCCACTGCTGATTATGGACCTCTGCGGGGTTATTTATCCATACTCTTTGGTTCTTTCGGTAAAGGCACGTAGGTAAAAATAAAATAAATCACGACGTTTCGATCGCAACACAAGCGACTGTCATCAGGCCTGATGACGGTCGCGACCGTATGGTTTCCTGCAGTGACGAAAGCTTCAAATCAAGATTATTTATCCATACTTTACACTGCTCAGTTCTGGTTGGTGACGTTGGGTAGCATAAGCCTGGTAGCATAGAAGTACAGTGACAATGGATTTTGCTGCATAGTTTAGATCATGGTTAACGTTACAGAGACACTGCAGTGTTGTCACTTGGGTTTTACATTGTATTAGCGAGGCTTCAAATTAATGTCAGACACTTTCGGACACACTGCCTCGGTACATATCTACAAATGAGAGTTCTTGGTGTTTTGGGTTCGTGTCTTCCTTCAGAATGCAGTCGTTAGCATACAGGTACATGATCGCCACTCCTGCTAACGCTTTCATCATTTGCTGCAGGGATTAATTCCATCGTCGCCATTGCCTCCTACACGGGATACAACCAAGAGGATTCCGTCATCATGAACAGATCAGCCGTCGACCGGGGTTTCTTTCGGTAAGATTTGGTGCCGTCATTGTCTTGTGCTCTATGGTTGCGGTGACCGCACACCGCCTATTGCGGTCGTTACATACATTTACCTCGCTGTGCGTTGCGCTGCTCGTCTGGAAACGTTTGACTGTGCCTTCACTGCCAAAATAACAATGTCCCTCCTTCCCTCTGTAAATAAAGACCCACACCTCACAGTATATTATGCATTGCCTATGAGGCCGCGTGGTATTCGACGGTTATTAAGAAAAGTAAAGGGGCTTTGGCAGGACACGTCACTCGAAGGGAGCGTTATTTGTGTGCTGTTGTGGATGGGGAGAAAACAAACGGATAAGTTTTCTCTCCACATGAGAATAAAATAACATTTTAGTCCATCTGCCCTCTGGGCCTTTCAGGGTCTGTTTTCCAGCAGCGCACATGTAAACAGGCAAACTGGACTGGATTCAACTCTCTTGAAGAGCCTCACCAGCATTGTCAGGCCTGGTAAATAATTACTACTCTGGTGGCATGTTAAAGGCAAGAAGTATGCTCCACCAACACTGTGGATGGAGTCCATTCAGCACGACACAATAACCTGCTACACGATCTACAAAGCAGTTGGGAGACATTGCTTCTTTTGACTCCCACTCTTCCGTTTGTGCATAGCGCTTATCCACCCACGGTTGCTCAACGGGAAGGGTAAACAATGGTGTAGGAGCCTTGAGCACGGAGGTCTCCACGACCCTGTGGGGACAAACTTCAATCGAGTCGTCAAGTGGGGGGCCCTGCGCTGGGGGTCGGGGGGGGGGGTCACGGTGGGGGGTGGTGGTGCGTGAGTGGAGCCATCACGAGGCGGGGCCTCAAGAAGAGGGGCTCGCTGTCAATTTTCGCACAAGATTGCGTTCTCCGTGAACTGTGAACCGCCCGGCGGCTGCCTGCGCTGAGCTTGATTGATTGGATCTGATTTCATTGGCCCGCTGCTGTAAATACTTTTTTGTGGGTGGGTATTCTCTGCGTCCCTGGTCGAGCGTGGGAACGAGAGAGGGGGTCGCATGGAAAGCACTGTCGCCGCTTGCCGTGTCGGTGGATGTCGGCCTAGCTCTGTCTCGGAATACATTTCTTGTGCACTTGGCTCATTAATGCAGGAACAGGTTAAAAATAAATGGTCAAAATAACACTTATGATTCCCCCAAGACTTTTCAGAGAGCACAGGAACATATTAGGTAGCCTGTGTTTTGGTCTGTACACACAGCCTTATAGACATGGCCAAAGATGAATATAATTGTTGAACTTGTTTCTTGCAGTGAGTGATCAAGTTGACAAGGAAGTGATTGTAAATATTTCCATTTATCTTGGGCATAATTTCAAATCTCCCTGTCTCCATTATAAATGCTGCATTGTGGCATGGGTGTGTGGGGGTTAGTATTTTTGTTTGTCCATGCTGGATCTAGCCTTGTGCTACAAACCCTGTGACCTAAGTTCAATTTCTGGTCACAGCTATCAATGGCGAGTCATCTCTGAACCAGTTTTGGTTCTCCCCTGGGTCAACTCAGCCTTAAATGAGAGCAGGCATACCTGGGTTGCCACCTCGGATGAGTTCCTGAAACCAGAACATAAAGCTAAAGGACGGTATTCCCTCGTTATTTGCGAGGGACACGTTCCGGAGATGCCCGTGAATATCACATTTCGTGTATCTTTTAATGAATTACTTTAAATAAACACGTAAATAAACTATTACATGCACAAGAAATCATCATTGGTTATAATAAACAGCAAATAAATATAATATTATGATTTTACGCATAAGAAGGGTGCAGTAACGATGACGCTGATGACGAGGACGGTGATGATGATCGTTGTGATGTAAAATTGTTTACACTTGTATAAAATAGTCACCATAAATACAGTATGTTGGGGAAAAAAATATTAATAGAGTACGTGTACACGTGAAAGAGACTACTGTAGTCGGGGGAGCTAGGTACCACTGCGTAAAACGGGATTGGGTATCAAATAAGTTGAAGTTATTTTTGAAGTACGTTAAACGGAAGGGTGTATTCTTGTTACTCGGCATGTTATGTAATTGTTAGCATTCGAGACGAAGACGACCAGGCCTGTTGCTGGCCGCACAACCACCAATTTGCGTCCCATTCCAGCCTTATTAGGTTTTTAGTCGCAGCACATGTCCCAATAGTGAATGTCTGTTTGGAACATCTTTGTGTGTGTGTGTATTTGTATTAATGGCAAGCGCTAGAAACTAAACTTAAAATATTTTATTTTACCAGGTAAGGCCCACTGAGCTATAAAAATATTTTGGAAGTGACCTGGCCACAAATTATATCTCAACGAAGTGGCTTATCACGTAGAAATGTATTGCCACCAAATACGTATCTAAAAAACGTTGAAATCACCATTTGCAAAATGTTTATATTGGCCACACAAACACTATCCCTATCAACAGTTGAAACGGCTTTGCTCAACAGCGGGTCGGCGTCTGCTTACAATTTCTGACCCTTTTCTAGGTCCGTGTTCTACCGCTCGTACAAAGAGCAGGAGTCGAAGAAAGGATTTGACATGGAGGAGGTGTTTGAGAGGCCAACTCGAGACACCTGCCAGGGTAAGGCCACCGACGGCGAGCCCTCGGATGGCGACCATTCCCTCGAGATGGCGCTCTTGACAGCGGTGGTAATTTCTCTTTAAATAAACATAGAGTGAATCAAAAGCATCTTGGACACAATCAAGTATTAATTTGATTCACCGCCTTTCTCTGAAAGAGTAATGAACAACCACAGGCAAGGTGTGCCCTGACCTCAATATCCTCTGAAAAAAAAACGTGAATTGAACTTGGTGCCAAGCCAACCCATCCGGAGGTGATTCATTTTAAATTTTACGTTTATTATTTTCGCTTTCTGCCGAGTCTTTTTTTAAATATCCAATTTGAATGTAATTTTTGTTTCTCATGCGTCCTCATGTTGACTTGCGTACTGGATTAATTTTGGCAGCACTCATAGTAATTACTTCCTCTGCTTCATAATTTTTATCCTTTTTTATTTCATTGTCTTTATTGTTTTAAAACTTTTGGAGATGAATTTAACTCCTTTTCTATCCTGAATAGCCTCTGCTGTCTCTAAGTCATCTTCCCTGGCCTCCATCACTGCTACTTCCCTTCTTTTTGGATCTTTCTCTAATTCTCAACTTCATTGTAATTATTTGTTTCATCTTAAAAACAATTTCCAGGTTACAAAACCACACTTTCTAACACCCCCTACCCCTTTATCTCAAATCAGATGCTCTTACCCAGACGATATTCCGTCTCAAAATTTCACCGTAAAAGGGTCCAATTCACTTCTTGACAATATTGAATATGTCTGTAGATAATAGTGCTCGTGTCCCAACAATAGTCAAATGGCCAAGGTGATACGTATTGTCTGGTTGCGGTAAGATGTGAATGTGGCCCAAAGTATCTGCTTGCTCATGCAGCTGTGGGCAGTGCAGGTGGTGAAACTACACTGGGTTGGGGTGGCTCCTTACGGGCCTGTTTACGAGGGGGAGAAGGTGGATAGAGGGCCCCATTTTATTCCTTGTTCTAAGGCCCGTGCCAACCGCTTGCTTTAGAACAGTGCTCATATCTGTTGTTCATTCGTTGTGAACGGTGAGTGTTACGCCATTTATACTTTCGTGTTTTCGTGTAAATAATGTTATCGTTGCTTTTGTTAGTTGCACATTCCCTCCCTGTGATGTCCTGTAACTGCCCCCACCGCCGACAGTCTTGGGCTGTGGGTCATCCTTGTAAAAAAGCTGCTTAGCTCAGTGGGGCCTTACCAGCTAAAAAACATTACGTCTGAATTTATGACTGGCACAGTCTCTTTTAGAACAATCACTATTGTGACCCGACGTGTTGTCATACGTTGCCCTGTTGTGTACCGCCTTTGCCCCCTTGTGCGTGATGCTCAGGCATGCGGCACGCCATCTACGAGAAGCTGGACGACGATGGCCTCATCTCGCCCGGCATCCGCGTGTCGGGCGACGACGTGATCATCGGCAAGACGGTGACACTGCCGGACAATGAGGACGAGCTGGAGGGTCAGACCAAGCGATTCACCAAGCGCGATTGCTCCACCTTCCTGCGCACCAGCGAAACGGGCATTGTCGACCAGGTCATGGTCACCATCAACCAGGAGGGATACAAGTTCTGCAAGATTCGGGTGAGCCGACGACGGCCGAGGGGAGGTTGGGGGAAGGCCAACCCCCCCCCCCCCCCCCCCCCCCCCCCCGTGACTTGGGGCCCCTGGGGTGTAGTTGGTGGACTTGATGAGATGTGCCCACTAATCCAGCGATCCAGATTCGCAGATTCAGCAGGTTTGTCATGCGATCCATGAAAACTATGTAGGTTAGATGATAGCAGTATGTAGGAGTGTAGAGATTCACTGGCTTCATCCACGTACCGAAAATTAACTATTTATAACCATATTCTTGGTTCTTTCGGTAAAGTCACGTAGAAGGGAAACAATAAAATAATTAAAATATAAAACAAAATTCTCACGACGTTTCGACTGCAACACAAGCAATCATCATCAGGTGTGAAAACCACAACAATAAAATTTGAAAAAAGTGGCGGTTGTTTTTAACGTTAGCACCACGGAGAGAGATTTGACAGTTTGTTCAGATGGACGAGTCCATTTATGTTCGGAAAAGAGGAGGGGGAAGATGAAAAATAATGGATGCGGTCTGAAAGCCACCTTAAGCGTGGTCAATCAATTAAGACCCGAAATGGTTTATCAAATACTTACAATGATTGCTAAGCCAGAATACATCTTCTAGGTTGAAATTGTCTCTGTATTTGTATATGTGGATAGCCTCATGAACGAATCTCTCATGGTAGCCAGATGGCTTGGAAATAACCTCTGTCTTGTCCTTTTTTCCAAACATAGATGGACTCGTCCATCTGAACAAACTGTCAAATCTGTCACCGTGGTGCTAACGTTAAAAATAACCGCCACTTTTTTCAAATTTTCTTGTGGTTTTCGCACCTGATGATGATTGCTTGTGTTGCAGTCAAAACGTCGTGAGAATTTTATTGTTTTATATTTTTATTATTTTATTGTTTCCCTTCTACGTGACGTTACCGGAAGAACCAAGAATATGGATCCCTGCAGTCACGAAAGCTTTAAATCACAATTTATAACCAGGTAGAAGCCCATAAAAAGGGCTATCTATGTTAGACATCTCAAATGAGTGTGCTGGATTAGAACCATCTCTTATCATTGTTGCTCTTCTTGAAAATCTTCGCATGTCATTGAAAACTTCGCTTTTTTTTTATTAAACCCCTCCCGCTCCTTTGTACAGGTGCGGTCAGTGCGGATCCCACAGATTGGAGACAAGTTCGCCAGTCGGCACGGACAGAAGGGCACATGCGGCATTCAGTACCGGCAGGAGGTGACCTCTCCAACACAGAGACCACACAACCGCATTGGAGTGAAGTGCAACGGGCACCTTCCTTCAATGAGCAGTGGATTTTTTGCAGCAACGAGGGAGCTTCATCCTTACCCGTATTTGTATTGCAGGACATGCCGTTCACGTGCGAAGGCCTCTCGCCGGATATCATCATCAACCCGCACGCCATCCCGTCTCGAATGACAGTCGGTCACTTGATCGAGTGCCTCCAGGGCAAGGTGCGTGCATCGCCTATCTCATCCTAGTGGGTGACGGGGAGCGGGCGGATGGTGTTACTCTCTCCTGGAGTCGCTCTCATCCATCTTCACGTATGTGTGTGTGTGTGTGCGTGCGCTGGTTTCCACATCCTCTGTTCTTCCTCCCTTTTGTCAACGCCTCCCACTCGTGCTGTCGTAGGTGTCGGCGAACAAAGGCGAGATCGGCGATGCCACACCGTTCAACGACACGGTCAACGTGCAGAAGATCTCCAACCTACTGCACGAGTACGGCTACCACCTGCGTGGAAACGAGGTGCGCGCTGGCCCTAGCAACTGCATTGCCATGGCGATGGGCTGGGTTGGTCACTGACTGGGTTACCCCTGGGGTTTGTCACTTGCCGAGTCAAGTCATGGGCCGCGTTTAGTTACTGGCTGACACTGGGTGGGTTAAGTCGCATGTTGATTTCGCTGCAGACCGGGAAAGTCACTGGCTCGGTTTGTTACTCATGGGCTTGGGGTAGCCATGGGCTGGCCAGGTTCAACATGAGTTGTTAGTTACCCTTTTGAGTTAGCCAAAGGGTGGACTATTCACAAATTGTGTCATCCACTGAATTAACCACAGGATGGGGTATCCCTAGAGTTAGGTTAATCACTCATGGATTGAATAACTAGCGGGATTATCCACGGTCCTAGTTGTGGATGCCTCGTCACTTATCTGGTTTACACGCAGGTGCTGTACAATGGCTTCACGGGCCGCAAGATGACGTCGCAGATCTTCATGGGACCCACGTATTACCAGCGCCTCAAGCACATGGTGGACGACAAGATCCATTCGCGCGCCCGTGGGCCCGTGCAGATCCTCAACCGGCAGCCCATGGAGGGGCGTTCGCGGTGAGACCACGAGTTATAGGAGTGTGGGGGGTGTTCCACTTGTCGCGAGTCAGCTTTGCAGAAACTCGAACTCCTCTATTTAACGCCTCCTAGAAAAAGGCGCTGTAGTGGTTGCAAGTTGTGAATCCAAATTTTGGCCGAGAGATCAACTTTTATATATTTTGTTATTGTGGGTGGTTGTAGTATAGATCGACTTTCACCTACAAATACGAATGCGGATTTTCCACCACTAATTCAGGGCCAGCGGCGGAACATTGGAAATAACGCACCGCCCCACGCCGCTCGTTTTCCACCTCGACGTTTGACTCGCCGTCGTTCCCCCCCCCCCCCGTGCACAGCGACGGCGGGCTGCGTTTCGGCGAGATGGAGCGCGATTGCCAAATCGCGCACGGCGCCGCGCAGTTCCTGCGCGAGCGGCTGTTCGAGGTGTCCGACCCCTACCAGGTGCACGTGTGCAACCTGTGCGGCCTCATGGCCATCGCCAACACACGCACGCACACCTACGAGTGCCGCGGCTGCCGCAACAAAACTCAGGTAACCCCCCCGCCCTCCCTCGCTTTCAAGCCCTTTTGTGTTCCGACTGCACGCGCATTTACAAGAAGGATGTAAGGGTTAACGCTTCGTCAGTTCTTTCGCATGGCAATATGTTCAGGAGCTACTAGCTACGACGAGAGAGCTTCAGCAGAGAGAACTAGTGTAGTTTCCTATCCCTCTGCTGAAGCTGTGCAGGTTATTCATTAAGGTAAGGGTTTACACTCATTCCGAGACAGTCTCGGCCTGGCCTCCTTTGACATGCGTTTGTAAGTTTTCTTTGCTCCCGTGGTTCTCTAACGTCACTTACTCCACAGTGGCACAATATTTTATGGTTTACGACACTCATAAAGGTCTACTGGCATTTAACAAAGCACAAATAGGAGCAATGCAGTCTCGAATGTGCCCTGGCTATATTTGCGTCATACAACATGGACTATATAAGTAGCCATGGTATCAATGGTCTCAAATGTTTACTTCTATATATTCGGCACAGAGTATTTCGTGCGATCATTATGCGTCCATAAGCATGAATGATTTTTGGCATAAATCAGTTTGTTTTGCGTGTACCACTGTAGTTAATATTTAATTTGAGAATAAACTTCAACCACATCTGCATAATTGCTTTGTTAATAAAATCGGACCCTGAATCGTGATGATCATACAATAGTGAATTGTTTATATCCCTAGGTTGCATGTAAATTGTGTATATTTCTTCAGTAATTGAACCATGCAGTTGAGAGCACACAGCTTCACCAACTTTGCACAATGCTGCTGGAATTTATAATTTTACTTACGTGTGTGCCATTCACATAAGCAATTATAACCATAAATTACAAAATGCAATGTTAGTACAAAATTCAAAGGCTTTTTTTAAAGAACTAATTCCCCTTAACAAAGTGAAGGGTAGGGGGCAGACTAAGGCAAATGATAATGCAACAGGATGTGGAGGCCAGTCCGTCACAGGGGACTAAAATTAGCTCGGACATCCTCTGCTGGAACATGTCTCGCCCTGGGCATTGTTAAAAGTTTTGTTTTCACGTAGAATTTTCCTTCGTATGCAAATCAAAAACCCCTCTTCACCTCTCACTCTCGGTGGTGATGTTGTAATCATCATGGCTAGACGGTGGTTGATAGCCGATTGTGTTATGGTCATGTAATTGCCGTAAGAATGCGGAATTCCCATCACTGGCTCAGGGTGGGGGGGGGGGGCGCCCCCAGTGTTGATGAGTGCCGCTGCATTTCACATTTTCAGCAGGAAGCCAACTTTATACATTTTACTTGACATTTTTTTTAATTGCTCCGTGTGTCCATAACCGTTTTTTGTCGTTGTTGCACAGATCTCGCTGGTGCGTGTGCCATACGCCTGCAAGTTGCTTTTCCAGGAGCTCATGTCTATGAGCATCGCTCCACGGATGATGATCACATAAAATCTGGAACCTGCCTTGGGGCCAGAAAAAATATTGCCGACCGTCGCCGCTGCCCTCCCAACCCGCTGGGCGATCACAAACATCCCCAGTGACTCCAACTTTCCCGGAAGACTCTTGCCTCTGCCAAAACTCTAAATATGAGGACCAGCACATATTCTAAAAAAAAGGACCAAGTAAGATGGGATCAACATGAACATATTCCTTGATGCATCTATTTTTATTGGCAAGTATTATTCTAGCCTTCCATTGCATAACATGATTTATTTGTGGTGACTCAGACCAGCTGTGCTAACAGCCTATCAGCCTCAAAAGGAGCATACTTTGATACTACAGGGCAGCCCGTCCTACATTAATTCCATCATTCCTACATTTAATAATTTATCTCCCGGTCATGTGACGCATTAATTCTCACCCGTGAATTTCTCCCTTTACTGAATCCTGGCAATCCTTTCAATCACTGATATATCCCTCATGTGCTCACTTGTTCTCGCATACATTTATTTTCTTATTCTGTCACTCACGCTTCATTCATTTACTCATTCCTCCCTCATTCAGTTACTCATTTATCTCATTCATTCACTCTCAATCCTCTGTCTCATTCTTTCCTCATTTATGCACTCGATTTCCCATTTCCATTTCCATGTGCTGCCTACTGGCGAACAGTAGCGGAAAATTTGATTTTGCAATGTACATAATCACTTTTTAAATGACACGTGTTAAATTTCACTGCACATAAGCAGAATGTGTAAGTGGTTTGAGGTTAAAATCTCTCATTCCTCATTCACGCATTCCTCTCATTGTCATTCTTATCTCATTTGGTCACCTGGCTACCAGATGCTCTCCGATGACTTCTGCAGGGCCAGCCGTTGCTAGGGACGCTTGTTGTTAGGGACACCTGTTGCTAGGGACACCTGTTGTTAGGGACGCCTCTTGCTCGGGACGCCTGTTGTTAGGGGTTACCTGTTGCTCGGGACGCCTGTTGCTAGGGGACGCCTGTTGCTAGGAATGCCTCTTGCTAGGGGATGCCTGTTGCTAGGGGACGCCTGTTGCTAGGGGATGCCTGTTGCTAGGGGACGCCTGTTGCTCGGATGACAGTTGGTCTTCTCAACCAGCAGTGCAACATTTGATAATGTAGTGCAGATAAGCACGTTAGCGTTCCAAGCTTTTTTATTTTGTAGTCTACAAGCGTTTTTTTTCTATTTCACGTCTATAACTCGGCAAGGAAGGGTGAAAAAAATGTGCTCGCACATTGACAGACGACGGACTTTCCATCGATACCACGTTCGTACACACAGCTTGAAAAATGTAGATTTGTGTGAGGTGCGTTTACAAGCGGCACATGCACACGTACAACGGGATAAAAAAAAAGTTGTATATGTGGAGATTAGTTTGATCTGTTGCCACGAGGAGTGGCGACGCGAGGCGTGTTTTGTGATGTTGCGGAAGCGTTTCTGCAGAGAGATCGTCAGGGCCGCCGATGCTTTTAAACAAAACAAAAAAGAACCCGCTTTGTCTTATTTCAAATAAACGCGTTCACGTGTGTGTATTTTCTTTAGTTTATTGCTTTTTTTTATTATTAAAGAATCACTTTGTCGTTATATTTCTTGCGTTAAACGGTTTTAAAAAACGACTCGTTTGCAAAAAGATGCAAGCAAATTAAGCTTCCAAACCTCTTTAAGACAAAATCCCCCCCCCACCAGTGTAAGTTTAATATGAATGCGTCGAGATTATAATAGCACCAAAACGTGGCTTTTACCGTTGCGCCTGACGTACGATGGCGTCTTCGGATGTCTGCCTTACGTCAGTAATGCCAAAACCTTGTGTGTACTGGCTCTCCGTTAAAATTACACAATCTCGTAAACTACAGTTTTAAGTGCAGTAATTAATAGAAGCTGCATTTGCAAATAAAAAATATACTGCTCGTCGACGGAGTTAAAGTAGCACGGATGTCAGTTTCGCGGTAACGGAATTACAGCGATGGACAATGAAGCAGATGACCACGCAGTTTAAAATCGTCGTTTGGTTATTTGTAGACTGGATCAGATTCGTGTACAATGGATGTCTTTATTATTTGCGCAATAATTGGCAAACACATGCCCGCGGCAAATCGACAAGCCGTTGTTTCATCTGCATGGTGGATAAACAAATACCCCTGTGTGGGAAATGAACAGTGGTTCTTCTCTGGAGAGAATGGGCTCTTATCTGCGCAATGTGGAATTTCTATCGCTGGTTTAAGAGCTTATCGATGGAGATGAATCGCTGCTCCACACTTCCTCGAGCAAGGGACTTAATGTATTCGTACAGCAGGTTGGAACGATGTACAGAGTAAAAAAAAGTGCCCTTTGCCACTTGGGTGTCGGATCATCCTGCCTCTTGTGCTTGTAATTCAGTTACGGCAGAATTGACAGGTACATGTGCCCGTGGTGTAACTGGATAGGGGATGTACACGGGTCGTCGCTTGACCACCGCACGCGTGCCACGAGAAGTGCTGCTCGTGGCCACGTCGTGTGAATCCCTCCCGTGGCGACGACGACGCTGCAGAGGAAGACTTAGAGTTCCTCCTCTTTCTCTGTGATGGGAGGGGGGAGGGGAGCATGCGGCATTAATTTTGTCGACAGAACAAAGCCAGGTTGTTGAATAAGACTGACCTGCCACGATAGGCATGTTTTAATTTCCATCACCGGCTCGGGGCTACCGATGTATAACGACTTGATGCGCAGATACAAAGGAGGCATCGTCGCAGTGATGTCCTCTGCTATCCCTGACGCAATCGTCTGGCTCGACCACCTAAATGTATAGCTGTTGCTGAATTCAAAGCCACACTGGTGGCCTTTAGTGCGGCCTTGACAATACACAAGTGAAAACGCCCCCATCATCGTGCTGCTGTCCAATCCAATGGTTTAAAATGTGTGGCGGCCCTCACACTGATGATGTCTTTTCGGCGAAAGTGCCGCCCCCCCCTCTGAAAATTAGTGAAGAACACTTACTAGACATCAACATCGGCCATACGAAAAAGGCCATTGGAGATGAGCACATGGGGAAATTTTAATTTGAGCTTGTGATGCACGGCAGAAGAGAGATGTACAAAGTTTTACCAAAATGTTTTAATCCGATGGCTCTTCGTGGTAATTGTTCAATGGGAGAATTGTGCTCATTGTCTCGTGGTGCGCTTGTATTTCGACTAAATCCACGTCGTGTTTCGCCGTTACCTGCACTACCATCGCGGGCCACCTGGGGTCTCGTTATTGACTGGAGTGCCTACCCGCAGTAAATCCACGATACCACCACAACTGTACACACACAACAAAAAACCCTTACTGCGCAGATGTGGAGAATACAAGTGAGGTGAGGGAGATTATAGTCGAGGGAATGTTGAACGAAAGATGATCGTCAACAATTGTCTGGAGCAGGCATTAAATAAGAGGGGTTCAGAGAGACGTTGAGTGGGGATGTGTGGGGACGAGCGAGGTCGGCAAGCACGAATTGGGGTGAGGAACGGCGAATGGAGGAGAGGGGGAGGTGAGAATGGAAGAGAGATGAGAACATGTGATGAATGGGGAATGGGAGTGAGGGGAGGTGGGGGGGGAAGCCAGAGGAAATGAGAAGTGAGAGAAGGTTGATGGAGTTGAGGTGCAGGGATGTTAAACGGCGTGAGGAGCAGTGTTAGTGAAGATGAGGTGCGCGAATGTCGGTTTGTGAGACGTCGGCGAGATGAGGTGATGTGTGCGTGTGGAATCTCGGCGAGGATGGTGTGACGAGGGTGTCTTCCCCCCCCCCCTCCTCTGCCACTCACGGGTGGCCGTGGAGTGCTCCCTGGGGATGAGATCGGCGCTGGCCGCCACGTGGATCGAACCGACGGCGGCCGCCTCCCCCTGCGAGTTCTTGGCGTGGCACTCGTACTCGCCTCCATCGCTATCCAGCAGCGGGGAGATCTGAGGGGAGACGCGAAACAAAAGACGCATCATACGCACGGTCCTCTCCCGCCCACCACGGGGAGATCTTTATTTTGCATGCGCGGTGAGCGTGGCGTGCCGTTCGAAAGAGTGTGGCGTATGTTTTTATGTTGAACTTCTTTAGAGCCATACGTAGCCAACCGTGCGAAGCGGAGGTGCGGGGGAAAGACAACAAAGCAAAGCCAAAGAGCAGTTCTAAACGTACGAGTGCAGTGCGAGTGGCTTGGCGTGTGTGTGATGTGGTATGGTGTGTGATGTGGTATGGTGTGTGGTGTGAGTGGTGCGGTGAGCACGGCTGTGGTTTGGGGAGTCTCACGTGAGTGAGGTGTTGAGAGTGGTGCGGTGAGGGTGTTGTGAGGGTGCTGCGGTGAGAGTGGTGTGGTGAGGGTGCTGCGGTGAGGCTGGTGCGGTGAGGGTGACGTGGTGAGGCTGGTGCGGTGAGGATGTTGCAGTGAGGGTGTTGCGGTGAGGGTGGTGCAGTGAGGGTGGTGCGGTGAGAGTGTTGTGAGGGTGTTGCGGTGAGGGTGGTGTTAGTGAGGGTGTTGCGGTGAGGATGTTGCAGTGAGGGTGTTGCGGTGAGGGTGGTGCGGTGAGGGTGTTGCGGTGAGGATGTTGCAGTGAGGGTGTTGTGGTGAGGGTGGTGCAGTGAGGGTGGTGCAGTGAGGGTGGTGCGGTGAGAGTGTTGTGAGGGTGTTGCGGTGAGGGTGGTGTTAGTGAGGGTGTTGCGGTGAGGGTGTTGCTGTGAGGGTGGTGCGGTGAGGGTGGTGCGGTGAGGGTGTTGCGGTGAGGGTGGTGCGGTGAGGGTGTTGCGGTGAGGGTGTTGCGGTGAGGGTGTTGTGGTGAGGGTGGTGCGGTGAGGGTGTTGCGGTGAGGGTGGTGCGGTGAGGGTGTTGCGGTGAGGGTGTTGCGGTGAGGGTGGTGCGGTGAGGGTGGTGCGGTGAGGGTGTTGCGGTGAGGGTGGTGCGGTGAGGGTGGTGCGGTGAGAGTGTTGTGAGGGTGTTGCGGTGAGGGTGGTGTTAGTGAGGGTGTTGCGGTGAGGGTGGTGCGGTGAGGGTGTTGCGGTGAGGGTGGTGCGGTGAGGGTGTTGCTGTGAGGGTGGTGCGGTGAGGGTGGTGCGGTGAGGGTGTTGCGGTGAGGGTGGTGCGGTGAGGGTGGTGCGGTGAGAGTGTTGTGAGGGTGTTGCGGTGAGGGTGGTGTTAGTGAGGGTGTTGCGGTGAGGGTGGTGCGGTGAGGGTGTTGCTGTGAGGGTGTTGCGGTGAGGGTGGTGCGGTGAGGGTGTTGTGGTGAGGGTGGTGCGGTGAGGGTGTTGCGGTGAGGGTGGTGCGGTGAGGGTGGTGCGGTGAGGGTGGTGCGGTGAGGGTGGTGCGGTGAGGGTGTTGTGAGGGTGTTGTGAGGGTGGTGCGGTGAAGGTGTTGCGGTGAGGGTGGTGCGGTGAGGGTGGTGCGGTGAGGGTGTTGCGGTGAGGGTGTTGTGGCGAGTGTGCGAGACGCACCAGCACCCATCCCGTGACCTCGTGTTTCTCGGGGCCTCCGCGCGTCTGGATGGCGAGGTTGTCCCGGTCTCCGGGCAGCAGCTCCATGCGCTCCACTCCCGCGGCGCTCTTCACGATCTGCGAGATCAGGCGCGGATTCAATCACTAGTCAATTCGTCGTCGTCAACAACAACAACGAGGGTCATGGTCTCTCCACTGGTGGATGAAGGGCTCCCCATAGTCCTATGGTGGTGACCAAAATCAAACTTCGGGTTTCTTTTGTTGAACCGAGTTGAGATTTCAAAGAGACACGAGGAAAGTCTCATTTGCAATGGTGATCGTCTCGCTCCTGTACTTGAAACGACGTCATTGCGGTATTTCAAATATAGACACATACACGCAGCACCATCAGCATCGTGTTTCCACATAGTCACATCTCTCCCGGTGCTGTGGCACCACAATCCAATTCACTCCTGCATAATAACATACTATAACCTCACATTTATAACCATATTACACACATCATCATCATCACATACCATCACTCCGCTACTCCTGGCGCGGTTGTCTGGCTTGACCACCTGATTGAAAACTCGATTTCTTTGGAACTTCTTTTTTTGTGTTTAGTTGTCCTTCCCCCACACCTCCAATTACCATGGTTGACTACGTATGGTGCAAAAGAAGTTTAACAGACATACTAAACCAACTAAAATTAATTATCAATCTCTCCGCTGCTGGATAATTGCCTCCTCACACTGTCGCCATTCCTTACATGGTGAAGCTGGGTTTTATATTCTTTTCATGCTTTCATAATAAACGTTTTTATTCTCGAATTGTAAATGTTATGGGCTTATTCTCCAACACGACGGGTGTGCTGAACTAGTAAACTAATTGCCACGTTTTGTTTACGTGACAAACCTTACCAATTGGCTGTGTCGGGTGGTGACGGGTCGACAATTTTATATTTGCGCGATCTTACCCAACAAATCCCCCCCCCCCCTTTTATTATAGATAATATTAGTCGCGAAAGTCTACAAGGTGTTACACATTACAGTGCTTGTTTACCCAGGAAGCCTCACCAGAGACTTGGCAAGAGGGTCCTGCCCCTCTTGCCAAGTTGTT